AATGAACTGTTAAATGCATTAAATTCTGCCCCAATCAATGTGGCCAAAAAAAAAGCTTAATAAATGTGCAGCACCTCCAGACAAAACAGTTTTTCAGCTGTATGTTTAATCCTTACCAGTAATCAATTATCCTTCAAACTCCTACATCACATAATTAGAAGTGCTTCCAGAAGGTGACTGGTAATTAATCAGAAGACCATTTTCTTTCTAACTCCACGCTTCTGACCTTTTCCTACAAGATCTTGCACTATCAGTAGCAAATCATTTTTCTCCTTAAGCTTCATTCCTCCCTCCGAGCAGATTCTTCCATGTAAGCCACAAACATCAAGCTAAACGTTAATACGCACGCGTTAGGTCTCAGAATTTCGCTCTCAAAGGAGCAATATGGAAAATAAAATTTGACTCCCTTAAAGGAACAGTCAGTTAGCAATTTCATCATTTTTATCCCTGAGGAGAACCAAATGAAATCTTAATCATACTTTCCCAAAGAAAGTATCACATATTTCTTCAGCTTAACACTCCTCCAGCACTCCCCAAAGCATTTCTTGGCACACAACGCTGCACACGACCATGCTTTTTGCCTGAAAATCATTTACAGTTCCTCATTAATAGCTGCTCCTGCAGGCAGATGCAAGTCTTCACTTTCACTCAGGAGTCTCAAATTATTTTAAGGAAGAGCCCATAAACTTAAAAATAAAATTATAGCAGCCCATTCATTGATGGGGCAGGGAGATGAGGCCATACAATCACCTGTCAGAAGCCATACAGCACGCTCTTGGCATGCACAAAATTAAAATCAAGGAGCATCTTCCCCCGGACACCTCAAAGACAGCTGTTTTTAACCCAGTCTTTGTGAGCCAGCTGCCTGCTCATGAGACACTGAGCCCTCCAGACGTGCACCGGGCCTGAACACTGCAGAGTTTGTGGCCCAAGCACCAGCTTCCCCAAACCCTGGGGGCAGAACTCCCAGATTTTGTCCAACAGAAAAGGGATAACGTCAGCCAACTGGGTCCAGCAGGGCCCGGCCAGAAGCAAGAGGTAAAGCACCACCCCACCCCTCCTCACAAAGGCAGCTAGGAACACTGAAGGGAGCTGTGACAGAAGAAAGTTTCTCACTTCAATCCCTGTCCCACTCAAGTCCCCCACACCTGAGATTAAGCCTCGTGTTCCTGCAGGACAGGCAGTATGGTGCAAGTGGGATTGGCAGCTCAAAACCTCCTCCCATCACTAACAACGCCCTACCAAAGTCCTACAGGAACGTTACCTTCATATTAACAAGGTTTTTGACTTCTACCTGCCTGAGAAATGAGGTCTTGCAGCGCCCTGCTCAACCCTACAATTATTTTATAGTGAACCATCGCTAGTCATTTGCTGCTGCTTCGCTTGCACAATCAAGTGGAGCTGTCTCTTTGCAATGGCCGTGTTCAAATCCCACAGGAACTCCAACAGCTTGCCCTGGAGGAGAGACTCCATCGGCACAAACTGCAAAACTTGCTGGGGGGAGTCCGAGTCCAGTAAGGAGCTCATCAGTTTATGCAGCTGCTGCAGGTACTCAGCAACGTGGCCGGGGATGCCCCGAAAACCAACACACAGCAAAGCAGCGCTGGTCCTCAGCGGCTCGTGGGACATGGGACAAGCAAATGTGACACATCTGAAGCAGCAATGCAGAATAAAGACCAGGCCAGCTGTGAAACGTGTAAAACTGGAAAGGATGGGCAGAATCAAGGCATCTCCCACTGTAAGCTGGTTCAACGACTGCAGAACGCACTCCAAAAGCCGCTGCTGGTATTCTGGTGCTCCATCGTAAAGCAAAGAGAAGCTGAAAGTCAGCAGCGTGGCTGAATCTAGGAGCTTTACTTCCATACCAGTTTGGTTTTCTGCATCACAAAGGGATGGAAAGTCCACCACAAGGCACTTGAATTGGTCCCCAGGCTTCTCATCGAGCGCCTCCTGATAAGACCTGGACAGATCAGACACTTCAGCCAGTACCAGCTCCCCAGGAAGAACCTCGCAGGAGTGACACTGCTGCAGCACTGGTCTGCTTTTCAGCCTCCCCACCAATTCATTCATGGCTTCATTAAGGTTTTCCAAGACTTTACCATCACAAAATGGAGAACACTTCACCATTGGTAGCCTCTTCCCTTCCAAAATGAACCACGAGTTACAGTTAATGTTACCAGACAATCCTTCCAGGATGCACATTTTACCAGCGTTGTTTAAGTTATGTTCTTCAGCCCACTTATTAAAATAGCCCTTTGCAACTTTATCATCCCATGTGAGGGTTTCCAGCATCTTCCTTTCGTTGTACGTACTAAAATATTTGTTCCTTTGCCCAAACCATTTTGCATTCGTGCTGCAACCAGTCTGAGACTTCTTGACAAGCCAGTTATTTCTGGTAATGGGTTTCATATGAAATTTTTGCATGAAGAACTCCACCGCACAATCTCTTAACTTGTCCAGTTTTGTCTGCTCTGCTTCTTCCATGCGCTCAAAGAGCTGGATGTTCTCACAGATGGTCTCTACCTGGTGCTTGTGGAAGAACATGCAACATTCCTCATGTATTTTAAGAAAAGATTCTGGTATCACGTGCTGGGGGAAAAGAGCTTTGTTGACCATTTCTGTCCCAAAGTTCTGTATCATCTTAGAAAGCAGCAGATGAATGCTCTCTCTGCCCATGTAACGAAGACAAACCACATAGGCCTCTGAGTTCCCAGCTTTGCTGGTGGCTGGCTTAAAGACGTGGACCTCCTCGAAACAGCAGTTCAGCAGAAAGAGCAGATTGGTAGAACAGTGCTCAAAGAGGGTGAACATCTTCAAAACAAAGGATCCCCCAGAGCCCAGGATCATTAAAGCAGTGACTGCCTCACAGTAAAGGAGGGGTGAGACGAGAGCTTCCTGTTCACCTGGGTTTCCTTGGCAATCAAAGCTGCCATCAGCAGTTACCAAGTGAACTGTGCTCATATGACTCACAATGTTCTGAAGTCCTGTCAGATGCTTCAAGGTCATCACGTCACCAGTGTTATCTGGGCCAAAGTGCCACCAGGGCAACGTATTTGCTATAAGACGGTCATCCATAATCATCGTGAGGGTGTCATTTGCTTCGTGATATGGGTTTAGAGTGTTAGCTACCCAATTCCAGTCACAACGGATGTGGTGGGACTTCAAGTAGTGATTGAGGCTGGCTATAAACGCTCCAGGTGCTTCACAGAGGTGAACGGAATTCAGTTCTCCCTCTTGAAGAGCTTCTGGAGGAAGAAGAGGAAAAGTGCACAGGATCTCATGAAACTTGCACCAGGCCTGGGTACACAGCTCAGCATTTACGGACTTCTTCACATGAGAAATTATTTTGCCTGCTTTATTGGTAAGTGAGGTGTGCTGATGCCACTCATCAAGGTTTTTATCACTCAGCTGATTCTTCACTTCATTCATCGAGTACTTCAGAGCAAGGAGTGAGTTGAATTCTTTGTGATCACATGTAAAGGCATCACTGGGATCTGGTAGCTGCCATTCCTTATTCGGTGGCTTCGTATAAGAAAACTTCTTGGCAAAGAGCTTCTCAACTTCAGAAAGAATTTCAGGACCGAATTTTTCAAGATTTGCAGTCTGTTCAAAGTTGGGCTTCTTACATTTGTTCATTCTTGGACTGACTCACAACCTGGTTGTGACAGGAGAGAAAAATGTCATTTCAATCACAAGCATATACAAACAGGTTTCTTTTTTAAAGGATACTCTTCTTGCTTAACCTCTGTATTACAGAATGAAAAAAAATCTTCACAGAACCATCCATCACTGAGAAAAATGAAATAAATGAGGGCTATGTTGAAAAGGGCTATTTGGAAATCAGGAGGGTCACAGGTTCAATTACCCGTTACGCTGCTCACAGGAAGCAAAGAAGTGCTGGCTGCTGCTTTGGCTCTTCATGCTCTCAATACTCACTATATGCATCTAAACACTTAAATACAAGTATCTCAGGCACAACACAGAACATGCCAGAACCTATACAAATTAGCCAAGTGGGCCACTGTTCTTTTCACACGATTACAGCAGTATTTATCCAAGTGTTCAGAGTTCGTGGAGTTCAGGGGCACAAGCAATGGCAGCTCAGAGAGGGAGCACAGTTGTTCCTTCCTTCCCTGCCAACCCACCACAGCTAACACTCATTCCAGTTCCAGCAAGCGAGATGTTGGCAGAGCTCCTCACGAGCACCCCAATGACAAGGGGGTCTCCAGCTAAGGGGCTGTTTGAGGTTTAACACCAGCCTGCAATCAAAACCCATTTTCTGAGCACAGGGTTATGACTGTCACTCTGGCCAGGCCACTTCAAATCCTTACACCTTGCTTTCCTTGCTGGAAAAGGGGTGACAAATCAGAAGTGAGAAAAGGTTTTCTTGCATCTGTGGCCAACATTTAACTCGTGCTTCATGTTCAAGAGCAGAACAGTGCAAAGTTGTGCTCAGAATGGATCAAGGCAAACATGAGCATACTTGCACAAAGCTGGCGCATCTTCTGCCATCTGCTCCAGTACACAGCACAAAGCACAACAGTGTTTAGGTCCACTAACAGCCTCAAAAAAAAAAACAGAAATATACTCAACAACCAAGACTTCTTCATCTAAGCAACACTATTTAATCAAAATTACCACAGGAGACAGGAAATCCCTTGGCACATCATTTTAACCATCCCCAAATCCACTTCATTACCTCAGAAGCACAGTACAACAAAATAGTGTTGTAAAGCATTACAGAACAGTTTACTGAGAAAAAATATTAGATTAAAACTGAAAGGGCTGAGAAATTGAGGAGGTAAAGAGGACAAAGAATGGCCCAAACCCACTTTTTCTCTTTTCACCCAAGCACCACTGCCACAGCTCCGTCCCTCACAAGGCTCAGCCCGGGTAGCAGCACGTGGTGAGCATCTGGGTGAAGTTTGCACTCTCGTTTCCCCAGCTCAGCCGCCTTTCGGTGCGTAAACACACCTAGTTTCAGTTTCATTCATGAAGCAGTATTTCAGCTTCAACCTACCCTTTTATCACAACACACGCTGGGGACAAGCAATAAAATGATGGCTTTACAGCCCTCGGTATGGGAAAGCTCTGCATCCTACACTAGTTTTACATCATTTTTACAGACAACGGTGGGCACAGCCTTTTAGGTAAGACCCAGGACAGCAAATCCCAAAGCTCAGCAATGCCCCAGGTCACCATTACTGCATCCACAGCCTCAGCTCCAGCCTGCTGCAGACCCCAGCACTCCCCCAGCACCCAGCCACCCGCACCCCTCGCTGCACCCCTTCTCCATCACCCGGGGAAGCGGCGAAATGGCCTCCCCCTCCCTTCCCTTCCCATCCCATCCCCACCCGCCCCCCGCTCCGCTCCGCGGCCCGGCCCGGCCGCCTCCCCCCAGCCCCGGCCTCTCGCCGGGGCCGCTCCCCGCCGAGGCCGCTCCCCGCGGGGGCCGCTCGCTACGCGAGGGCCGCGGCTTCAGCGGGGCCTAGCGCCGGCCCCGCTCCTTACCCCGGCGGCGCTGCGGGAGCCCAGGCCCTCGCCCCGCCCCGCTGCCTTCCTCCCTCCTCCTCCTCCTCCTCCTCTCAGGAGGGGGACGAGCAGCGAGGCCGGGGGGGGACCCGTTCGTGTGCCCCCGGTAGCGCCCGTGGTGCTGCAAGGCTGCGGTGGCAGGGAGGGGAAAGCAGGGTTTTCACCAGCAAGCCCCAACTCACCCCCCGGCTGGCTTGTTTCTGCAGGAGAAGAGGCAGGGAGCAGCCTCCCAGCAGTAACACGGCCTGGAAGAATGTCTCATTGCAGGAGGAAGTAGTGAGCCTTTATTGAAGTTATATAGGTCATAAATACTCACCACCTGATCGTACTTACAGGTCACTCAGCAAAAAAAGCAAGGATGAAAGCTCTGAAGCGGCCCCATTTGAGAAGGGTCAGAGCTCTCCCTGCATCTAAGGCTGACTCTGCAGAGCTGGAGCCAGAGCAAGGCACCATCAGCTCCCAGCCCTGGGGACACCACATGTCAGCACATGGTCTCCAGTGGGACCTCCATCTCCAGTACCTGCAGTGATGCTCAAAAGTTTGAAAACACAGCTTTGGCTGCAACACACAGGCACTCATTAGGCTTAAGAAAACTCTCGCTGCTTCCTCTTGTCTGTGATAACCCGCATTGCTGCCCTTTCTAAAGGCTAAGGAGACTTGTCACCCAAACTTGGGTTAGCACAAGGCAATACAAGAAACAAGAGCCCTGAAACGCTAACAGCAACAACAAGCAGAATTGGTAATCATCTACCCACTGCAGCAGCCCAGGAAACATGCACACACTTCGTATACTGACACCAGATCAGCAAGTGCAAGCAAAAAGGTCAAAGCAGGCTAGAAAGCTACCACCACAGCAGAAAGTGCAAGCTGCTCTTTGTATTTTAAATGTTGTTGGGATTTTACTACACACAGGTTAGGAAATGAGATGCTCACCATCTTGTTTGGGAGCAAGCAGCCAACAAGGGAGCATGAGTTAGCAGAAATTCTTTCACTTTGTTGCCAGGTTTGCTGCTATTAACTTCTACACTCACATATTTCTCATTGATAAAGTGGGATCCAGCCCAAAGCCAGAATTTGCTTTAGCACAGAAATTTACTATGAGTCAAGGGACTCCAAAACTGGTATAACTATGGAAAATTTTGCTAGATGTTAAGTAATCAGTATAAAGTCTTGACGTATTTGTCTTAAGGATATAGTCATAATATATAGGTAATCCTTTCTCCTGTTCTGTGAGAAATCCTATCCCATAGCTGTCAGGAGAGTATGAGGGAATTGTTATGTTAAAATTATGACAGGCTATGTAAGCTTATAAAAAACCTGCCTGCCAAATCATTCGCTTTCTATATTGAAGGAATACTGTTACAAAACAGAAAGAACCTTAAAAATACATATAATTCTGTGATTATGTGAAAAATATGTATAAGTTCGGCTACCCATAAATACAAACACAAGACTAGAGTTTTTATACTTTAAATCTTTAGAATGAAGAGAATACATTTTAAAACTAAAATTAGCATATTTCACTTTGATAAACATTGTGTAACAAAGATACTTACTAGCTGCCATTTCAGAAACAACCTTCACCAGAAGGAGCTTCACCTGTGGATGGAAGATTTTTATGCCTGTGCGCAAAGCCTCTTCCCCCTTTGATTGGCTTGTTTGAGAATCACTCCAATCAATCAATGTGTTTGGCTACTGAAAAGGGGGAAAGAAAAAAAAAAAAAGACGGGAAAGTTGAAACTGTTAAATTGTTAATAAGGTGGGGTGGGGATATAGATGGTTCTTTAGGGTCTGTTGTGGTCTTTTTTTAAGTTTCATTGTACAGGACATGTTGTAATAATAATGTCACTGATAACATTTTCTTTTGTTCTTAGCATAGAGTATTGAGAGTATAACAGGCTCTCTATTGTCTCAAATACTTTCTCCTTGTGTTTGTAGTTAAGAAACTAAATATAACTTTCCTTTTTTTTTTTTTTTTTTTCCTGATGTGAGCACAGTAATACTGTGATGTTTCAATTACTTTCCTTTTGCTATTGTCACACACGTACATACCTGCTATCAGAATTGCAGTCACTGAGTTTTTTGGATAGCAGGTTCTTTAAATCATTGTGTTTTAGAGTTGACTTTCTCAAATGCCTAAATAACTTTTTCACATGCCATTGAGTCCTTAGGTGTTTTTATTTTTTTATTAATTTTTTTTTTTTTCCTAAGAAAATACCCAAAAGAGAGCAAGTACAATCCAGCCACTTGAGGGGAAGTGGTATGAAAGTAGGACTTCTACCTTTTCAGCCCTTTTCTTCTAGGCTTTTATTACAGCTTATAATGCCTGTGTATTGCAATCTGCTGGACTGATGAGGAGAGTATTCTCCAAAAATTCTGGGAAGGATTATTCATCAGTAAGCATGCGATGTTATGAGATTCCAAGCTAAAAGCAATACAGATAAATATCACAATTAAGAAAAATGTTGCTTTTTCTGAATCTGAAATTAAACTGTTGACTCAGCTTGCGAACTTCTCCTACACTTTATTAAATCTTCTCAAGTTAATGCAGAAGTTCAAGTAGGTACTTCTATCTTATTCTTAATACTCAGAAGTCTTCTCTTCTGAGAAACTCAATGTGGGAACATAGCGCTTGCTTTCTGGATTAGCCCCACTTCTGCAGAGCTGATCTCCTATCAGGTGGTCAATAGCTGACCTGTTGTCCTTCTGCCTATCAGATCATAAGATGCGTGCACAGTGGTAGCACTGAAAGCCTTGAACAGGAGCGAGCATCCTTAAATGAATATTGTGCAGTTAAACACTACAAAGTGTTCGTAAATTAAAAAGTAAGTAGTATTTCTTGTGCCTCTGACTTTTTTTTTTTTTTACATGTAAAACAGTGAAATGCACACACCATGCTATGTGATAAATGTTCCTGGAGGGTTTTGGAATCTCTTATTTGTATCAGACGTACAAGAAAGCAGCTGCAAAGAGCATGCAGAGTCACGGAAGAAACTCTATAGATTCTCCAGGACACCTGCTACTTCTCACCTTGCTTTTAAAGATCAACCCCCAAAATGTGTAAGGCTGGTTGTGCTTTGGAGTGGCGTTGGGGATGGGTCTGTGAGGGCTCTTCGGGCTTGCAGCCTGAAGTCTTATATTGTGTTTTCTTCACTGGAGGAATTGTGATCAGTCTGCTGCTGTAAGGAAAGTGAGCTGTGAGACTTCAGTAACCAATATTTACTGTTGATGACTGGTAAAATGATTTGTAGTTTTTCAGCCTTTGCTTCTCTACACAAAAGTCACTGAAATGGAAACTAAAAGGGAACCCCCACAGCCAGTTCAATTCTGTGGCATCGTTGCACTGCAGATGAGTTATTAAGAAAGCAGTGAGCCTGTTGGGACAGCAAAAATACCTCCTGGTGGTCCGTGGTTACAAAGGGCAGTGCGTTCACCTGCTGGCCTCCAGAAAGCAGTTCTCTCTAAAAAGGTTTTGGGGGAGTGGGAACATGATCCAGGAGAAGGGTAAGAGGTCTGGCCTCTGCTGTGTGAAGCTGCTAGTGACTAGTGAGAGAACCTGATCACAGAATGGAATAAACGTTGGTCCTAGGTGGTTGTGGCTTGGGGAAGTGTCCTTATCCTTCCCATGGAGAGCTAATTGTGTCTACAGAGCTTCAGGCCAAAGGCTGGCTGTGATGCCAGGGCAGGAACTGTGTTTACCTGTGCCAGACAAGGAAATGTATCTGACTGCAGGAATCAGCGGTGATGCATACAGTCACTGGAACACCTAACTATCTGAGAAATGTTTTCTTCTGTGCCAGGGCTGAAAGCATTCCTACCTTATATTTTAGTCCTTAACTCTCAGTTATTTGTGCTTATTGTAGGCCTGAGAGGGGTTGGCATTCTGCAGTTTCCAGTCCACCAGGATTCCCGGTTTCTCTTCCCCATATCCTCACTATGCTGTTGCCGAAACACTCCCAGGTGTTTTCCCCAAGGTACCTGTTTTTTCTGCCTGCCTCAAGGCACCCTTGCAGCATGAAGCCCACCCGTTCATCCCAAGACTGACATACTGCTGATCCCTGGCTGTGCTGTTCCTAGCCCTCCAGAAAGCACAGCTCCTGGCCCTAAACCCCAAGGTGATCCTTTTTACCCCGTCCCTGCTGAGTTCCTTGACAGGAGCACTTCTTTCCCTTCCATGAGCTCCCCCAGCCACAACCCCAGCCTTCTCCTTCGACCTCTGACGCCTCTGCTGGAGGTGAAGATGAAATGCTGCGTGGCCTTAGGACAGCTGAGTTCTTTTCCTAATTGCAGTGGTATCACTTGGCTAAATCCGAACAACTCCAAAGTCTTAATTCCCAAAAGCAGAAAAGGTGAGTTTTTAGTGCTAGCACAAAATTTATCAATGATGTGCCTGCATCCCTGCCCGTGCACCTCCTCCAGCCCTTACATAAACCCATCTCCACCCTGAAGCCTTTCCCCCCGTGCCCTTGCAGGGGGGCTGCTCAGAGCTGTGCAATTTGGGAAGCTGGAAGCTTTTTGCTAATGCCTAGCCTAACTGCACACACATCTCCCCAGTGTCCTGGTGCCTGTCTGAAGTTTCTGTCTCTCTCCTGCCTCCATGGCAACATTTGCAGCCTGCCATCAGAGCATTGCTCAGGTCTTGTTTTGCTCAGCTAACCATGACGAGCTCTTGCAGCAGCTTCTGGGTTTCTGCTCCCCTGCCCACCCCTTCCTGCGCTCATGGGGGGTGCAGGTCTCCCCCCTGGAGGAGTGTGATGGGCAGTGGGCTTCGGGCAGGGCTTCCTGGAGATTAAAGCCGTCTCCAGGGGAATAGCTTTGCTGATGAGTTGTTTGCTTGTATTTACCTTGCTTACAGCCGGTGATGCTCCTGCGGCTGTTTCCGATAGCAAGCACGCAATGATGTGATGAGCTTCCCAGGCAATGTAATTCCAAATTAGTGTGGAAATCCTGGTTAGTTCTTAGAGTGCACTGAGGAATTTTGGAACCAAACCTGGAACCTGCACTTTGCTGAATCAGCAGGAAAGCAACAGAAATCTTCCCCGGGTTTATCCGTTTTACCAAAGCAGAATCCTAGCTTTTCTGCCTAAGAATTGGGTGGAAATGCCCCCAGGCAGAGATGGCAGCAAGCACCATGAGGGTATGGCAATGCCTGTAAGGCCCTGCTGGGGGGATTCTTCCCCCTGGGCCCGGCTGATTTAAGCTGTCCCCAGGGGCAGAGACCCCACTTGGCTCCCCTGGAGCCACGACGTGTGGCTGCAAGAAAATTCGGTGCTGCGATAACACGAATGCTTGGCGACGTGGGAGACTTACCCGAAAGCATTAATTAACTGTTTTAACGAAACACGTGCAAAAATACTTCACAACACGTCTTTAGATAGAAGTTGCTGCGGGAATGTAGAGCTGTTAGAAAGTTATTTCGGGTGATGGTGTCTGCGGCCTAGAGCAGCTGAAGTTTGGCCTCAAAATGGGACTGGAATGACACCAGGTCAATAAGATCAGGATTACAGATGCGCTTTGCTGCAGACACATGTACACGAAGGCTGTCAATACTCTTTCTTAAGGATTATACAATCTATTCAATAACTTATTTCGGATAGATCTGCACAGTACCTATACAGGAGCTGAGGTTTAATTAGTTTTTTCTTTTCCTCTCTAAAGAGGCACAAATGCCCTCGATGCTGAAATCGTTTTTTGCTAGTAGGGTGAGCCTTTATCTTGTACTTGTCTGGCTAATGCACCACCACAGGTTAAACCTCGAGCAACTTTTGTTAAATAACAGGTGCTGCAGGAAGATAGATAAAATGGTCCCTTTCTGGTAATCCTGTTTTCCATGTAAATCCCAGCTAGGGAGGAGATTGTCTTAGACAAGAACAAATTGGGGAGAGCTCTCAGGCTGGGTGATATCTTGTCTCCTTTGCAGAAAAAAAAAAATAAAAAAATCAGATTAATGAACATAATCAGATTAAGGCTAAATAAGGGAACATATCTTGGGGGCATCAGAAGTCTGCTGATACCAGAGAACTCCGTGGAAAGCCAACGCTGGAGGCCCAGCTTTGCTCCCTCCGTTAAATGAACGGGGGCAGACGATGGCTTTCAGAGGAGTGGCAGCAAAATGCAAGGTCCTCTGCCTGCTGTGGAAGAAAAAGAAAAGGGGGGACGGCTGAAGAAGGAGGGGATGGGAAGGGAGATGGTGGGGTTGTTTTTTCTCTGCTGCCCCGTGCAGCAGTGCACGACAGATTCCCGAAGCAGCAGCACCCACATCCTCTGGTCTTTTTGGGAGAGACTTGGGAAGCTTTCTAAAAGAAAGTGATTCAGGAGATGAAGCGTGATACCAGAAGAAAGGGAGAAGGTCAAGAACTTGAGGGGAAAGGGCGCTTGCGGCTCCTCTTCAGATTCATCTTCTGCTCTGCGGTGCCGGTTGTGCCTTTCGACAAAAACCTCTTATCAACAGAACTTTCTGCTACTCTTAATGCCTAAATCCTGCTTGTTTTTAAGGACCTGAGCCCGTGCTGGGGTACGATGTGGGTTTCTGCCTTGGAGCAGGCTCCTTCCAACATGAAGTATCTCTCAAAACACCCAGGCTTTTCTTTCTGCATTTATTTCCCTGCTTGACTTTGAAGTTCCCTGAGAGTTTCCCGGGGCAACCAAGGCGATGTTTGATGTGTGGTCTTCAGGACCAACACGCAAACCTGAACGGAAGGCCTATGAAACATTACAAGACCTGAACCTGGGGTAGCCCAATTTTCTAAGTTCTTTATGTCTGGCTGATTTGTCTCAGAGTTGACAAGCTCTGATTGAGCCGTTCTCCCTGCCTGGAATACTTATAAATATAAATTCTAGTTCCACGAGGCCTTTCTGGATCCAGCAAGGTGTGAAAGCACACTGCAGCTGCAGCCTCTCACCCAGGGCACGTAGCATCTCTTCTCTCCTCATCACCAATCTGCAAAATTTTTTTGGCACTTGATTGCCTTGGAAGCAGCTTTGGAAATCAGAAAGGTGTAGGGTGGGGCCTTAATTTATTTATTTTTTTTATTCTGTCTTTGCTAATATCATCAGCTGAACAGGCTTAGAATAGCTGGAGGCAGTAATTCTTTTTGAGATGGACACAACCATCAAATGAGTGAAAATCTGGGGGGAGCTGGGGACCAGGGCAGATAAGGGACACGGGGATGTCTCATCGTTTGTCACGGGGCTGTGTGGCACGGGCTGTCCTGCGCTGTGTGCTCCCAGGGGTCTGGATGTCACAGCAGCAGGTGACACCTATGCAGATTTGCTGTCAGCTGCTCCGCTCCGAGAGGCTGCTGGAAAGTTGCGTGTGAACTTTCTCCAGGCTTCACCCGCATTATAAAAGTGCACACGTCAGCTTTCCGAAGAGCTCGGCGTTGTGGGGACAAGAGCAGAGCAGCTGATGTCCCCAGCTCCTCAGGGACCCAAGCCTCACGGGTCCCAACTGGGGGCATCCCGTGGGGATCTGCTCCTCGGCCTTTCTGCCCTTTTCCAACAGCCGTGGCTCCATTTCCAGCAGCCGTCCCCTTCTTTTTGGGTAGCCAGGGTGGAAGATGGCCCGTGCGGAGGAGGACAGGTAAGGCGCCATGCAATGGGGACAGCGAGGCTGGAAGGGGATGGGGGAGCTGCGCCACGCTGCCTTGCCCTGCTTCCCTCTCCTCCTTCCTGCCATCAGGCAGAGGCTGCTCGGGAGCAAACATCTCGTTACCGGAGAGAAATTGGCCGTCTGCCCGCGTCAGGTGCTGGCGTTACGAAATTCGGCAGCCAGCAGGCGACCTTGGCAGAGGTCGTGGCCAGGAGGTGCAAACCTGAAGCAGAGGCAGAGGCATTGGTCGCCCAGGCGTGTGCCCCTCTCTGAAATATAAACCTCCATCTCTTGGTGTGGCACAGCTGCATTTTACACGGATTTGCTGGCATCCAAAACGAGCAGGGGGGGGGTTGTGCCATAAAGGATCTGTCATCGGTGGCAGTCCTGTGCTCTGCAGCAGATGCGGCTCTCCAGCGGATGACAGTGCTCACAATGCAGGGGATTGTGCTTTCAGCTGATCCTGTGATTTAATCCAAAGTGATGCCGCTGAGCACTATCATTAGGTGTGCGTGGTGGGAGGTGGAGCAGCTACGGGGGGTTTTGTGCTTCGTGTACCCATTCAGGCTGCCAAAAACCCTGCGTGGACCTCGGGCTTGTGCACTTGCAGGCTGAATGCTGCATTCACTGACCCGTGGGTCGTGGTCTCCTGCTGCTGGGCACCCGGGAAATTCCTGGGAGCCCAGCAGAAAGCCTCGCAGGCAGGCACAGCAAATGGATTTGGGCATCACGGAGCTCAGTGCTAGGGACAGCACTAGAAGGAAAAAAAAAAAAAAATCCCCCTCCCAAAAGCCTGTACAGCTCAGTCAATCCCATTGTCTTCAGCTGTTGTTGAATCAGCGTCATCCCGTCCCGAGCTTCCTGGGCTTTTAGGAATAATGTCCATTATTTAAATGGTATTTTTTCAGGGGCGTGTGAACCTTTCTTTAAAAATGCAAAAAAGAGAAAGAGATTGGGGACTGGTTGTCAGTGAGAGAGCGGATGCTGCTGACCTCATTATTTTTCTCATCTGCCACAGGTGCCTCATCAGCCTGGGAGCTGCACTGAAATTCTCTTGGTTCCTTTTAAGGGTTTCAGTTATTCGATAGTTTTTCTAAATAAAAGTTACAGTAATTCAACAGGAATGTGTGGGGAGTCCTTCCGTAATATATGTAAAGCACTTTTAGAGTTGTTGTCTGGGACAGCTGTAGCTGGGCAAGGGATAATACAGCTAGACGAGTGTAGGCTTCAATAATGTCAGTTTGATACCTTTTGCTTATTTTAAGAGCTTAGGGTGCACTTGGAGAATTAAGCAACATGTTATGGTAAATACACTCATTTCCAGACTTCTCCTTTGAAAAATATTTCAGCTAAATGGCTCTTCATTTTAACTCAGGACCATGGAAGTTGTTTCATCCCGTTGGACCACAAATTTGTGAGATACTCAAGTGTTTTTGACATCGCAGATCCTAACTAGGAGCATGTTTGTACCAGACACTGGACAACTAGGAGGTGAAAAAGCTCGCAGAAGAAGCCCATGCAGTAACTACCTGCCTCATCAGCCTGAAGGAAGAGAATGATAGAATTGAGATCCTGTGCTCAAATGTGATGCTCCAGTTAGATGAACCAGTCTACACTGACACCTAGGTCCTGTTCGTCAGTGGCCTGAGACCTCCTGGGATGCAGAGCAACTCTTTGAAAGCTTTTCTGCACATCCTCCAAGGCTGCAGGCAGCAGAACTGCAGCACAAACAAGGTCACTAGAAACAAGAGACCTGTTAAAAAAAAATAAAAAAATCATGAAGTTACTGTTTATCAGTGTCTTCAGTTGATTTTACATCGCCTTCACCACCGTGGTGCCTGGCCCTGGCAGCCCATAATAGGCAGATCAGCCTTTCATGCCCCACCTGTGTTGGTTGCAGCCCCTAATTGCACCCATCGGTGGCAATGACCAATTTGCTACCAAGAAATGCTATCAGCGCCCGTGCTTTTGAAGAGACTTTCCAATCAACCTTGCCATTGACTTTTGGAAAGTGTCTTTGTTGTCCTGTTTTAAGCAGGATTATGGGATTAATCTTCTATTGATTGCATTTCAAAACTGACTAATGCATCTGAAGAATACTGCACTGAAGAACAGAAGCCAGGCTGAATATCAAAGCCGTCTCTCTTACAGAGAGAGGTACAAAACAGGCAATGCAATGCCAGCTTCTCCCATCCCACCTTCCAACAATGTGCCTCAGCACTGGATAAGACGCATTTTTGGGTCTTATCTAAGCATCCCCATTGAAAACAGACAATGTAAACCCAGGAACCCCAATTTGTGGGCTTAATTTCTGGTTTCAAGTAGGCTTGTGCCATTGGGCCTCCTGCCTGGGTGTAACCCAGGGGAGAGGGTGAATGAGAGATCCATGTTCAGCATCCTCGAGTGAAACCACCAGGTACAGAGCAGGTGGATGTCTGAGAAGCATGGACAGGTCTGGAAAGAAGCCCCCAACACTTCTGGAGCTTGGGTTCCCCACCTCTGCAGATGGTGCTTGCCCCTGGACCTGTCACAGGCTGGACATCCCCATGCACACACAGAGGTTGAAATTTTTCAGACTGTGCTTTTCCATTCCTTCACCAACTCGGGAGAGACCAGAACGCATCAGAAGCAGGAACTGTAATGCCTTGTGACATTTGTGTTATAGAGGTATCATTAGCCAGTTTCCGCTTCAGAATAAAACTGGCAGAGAGGATTCAGATGATTTGCCAGTGGCCTGGGGTAAAATGTGAGATTAAGTGTTTGCTGTAGAGAAACATCTTCCATAATAGCAGTGAAGCTCCTATCATTTTAGTCTTAATGATTTTTTTTTTCCTTTGCACCTTTTCAGGACTGTTACCTTTTGAAATTTGTTCCTCGGATGGGCTGACAGGTTCGCTGACCTCTTCTCCTTCTGCAGGAGCAGCTACGAGGTGTGCAAGGAAACAGCAGATTGGATACGAGCCCGCATTGCTCAGCACCCGAAGACGGCGATCATCTGCGGGTCTGGGCTGGGCGATCTGGCTGATGTGCTCGAGAAGAAGGCAGTCTTTCCGTACGAGGACATCCCCCACTTCCCACGGAGCACAGGTTGGCACAACCCCGGGCATCAGCAACCCATCCAGCAGCAGAAACAGAGACGTAGACAACTCAAACCAGCACCCAGCCCTTCCCTCGGCTCTTGGCTTTGGGCACAAAGGGTCCCTCGGTGGGGCAATGTGCGCTCACAGAGCTTCAGTAACATCCACCAGCCCTTGTCCCATCCATGTACCACACCTTCATGTGATAGCTGTAAATTAATGGCTGTGCTATCACCAAGAAAGAATTCAAGTTGATTAACGGCCTCTAGTTGAGCCAAGGGAGGTTTAATTGGATGTCAGGAAGAATTTCTTCATGGAGAGGGTGGCCAAGCATTGGAATGGGTTGCCCAGGGAATGGTAGTGTCCCCATCCTTGATGTGTTTCAGGGATGTGTGGATGAAGCACTAAGGGACGTGGTTTAGTGGTGGGATTTGGTGATTTTGATGGCCTTGTCCAACCTAAACATTCCTATAATTCTATAACCAAAAGAAAAGCCTCCTTAGATAGAAGGAAACTCAAGAAATGGGAATATCAGCTGCAGGCCGTCAGTGCAAATTCACGCCTGGCTGCTTGTTCTGAGCATCTCACGGCTCTGTAGGGCCCAATGAGAAATGCTGTGCTCTTGGTCCCCCTGCCAGTGAGCAGAAATCGATATCTCAGATGCACCACCACCAGCCCCTCACACTGCCAGAGCTCCTTCTGGTGGCGCGCTCCGGGAGCAGTGGTCTCATCAGGCTGAGCCGTAGGACAAGGAAGATTTCACAAAACCCCCAAACAAACAAAAATTGGCATGGTTCCATACTTTGCCATTGCTATTTACCTTCCAGCCCTCAGCTCTGCAGCTCTTGGCCCTGCTGTAACCCATAATCAGCCGACAAACCCCTGCAGAAGCCAAGCCCCCGAGCCCGGTAGCCGCAGTGACACGGTTCCCTTCCAGTCGCAGGGCACGCGGGCAGGCTGGTGTTCGGGGAGCTGAGCGGGCAGCCGTGCGTGTGCATGCAGGGGCGCTTCCACTGCTACGAGGGGTACTCCGGCAGCACGGTGAGTCCTCGAGCAGATCATTCCTGCAGCCAAAGAGGTTTTTGCAAGGAGGTGAAAGCCACCGCTTGCTCTGATGCTTAGCTGCAGGATAGCTCTGGCACTGAGCATACAAATAGATTTCTCCCACAAAAAAAAAGAAAAAATGGGGAATTGAAAGTGAGGGCTTCCATCAGGTGGAGCTGGTGTTGGGCAGCCACAACACCACGTACGGTGCGAGGCAGGTTAGTTCATGTGGCTCCACTCCATCAGTTCAATCATGGTTTGAAGCAGCAGCCAGGAAATTCAGATTAATAGGAATAATCTATTTTCATCTTTTCACATTTGTATAGTTTCAGGCTTTTTTTTTTTTTTTTTGAAAGAACAAATTGGCTAGTTTAATTGGGTGTAGTCTCCCAGCTCACACATGGAGCTATGAGAGTTTCCACGTATTCATGTTGCCTATGATGCCCATCTGTAGATTTCTGTTAGAAAACCCAAATATCAGCCCCTAAACTGGCTGATAGTTTAGGGGCTCCTCTCTTATTTAGTTGGATTTGAGGTTTTTCTTGTGGCCAAGGTTTGCATTTGGATACAAACTGTAATCGTTGGCAACACATCTTTTATAGAACAAAACTATTTTAATGTACTTGATCCAAAACTAGGTTATCAAAATATGTTTGTCTATTAAAATTAATTAATTTGCTAATGACCATAGTTAGGAAATTATTTCTGCTCACAGTTTCCTTCGCATTCAGAAGCAGCAGCTATCACTCCAGTTCTTTCCTTACTCCTCAAAATCAAACTTTTTGATTTTTTTTTCAGTTCCCAGCAGTTCCTTAACTCCCAATAAGCAGGTTATTGAGTGTGAATAAGCCCAAATGAAGAAGGCACTCTCTGTACTTCTGCAAAATGCATCGCTGCTGTAAAGAAGCTGGTGTATCAATTAAGCTCCAGGTCCATGTGCATAAGTAGTTTCTCCAATCAGCAGCGGTTTGATCTCTGCAAGACCTTGCCAGCAAGGAAAAATTATCTGCATATTCTTTTTGTGCTGCATTTATTCGACCTGAGTGCAACTGTAATAAATGTGGGCTTGGATTTTAATGGTATTCATTTCAGAATTAGCTTTTAATATGTTTAAAAACTTTAAAAATATTTTTATTTAAATTAGGGGGAATTTAAAATTGGAGACAAGGGTTTGTTTGTCTCCCTGTGGGCTCACGGAGGCCTCTTTCTGCACAGCGTGAGCTGCCTACAAACCCTCCTTCTCCCCAGGAAGGGCACTGCAGCCTGGTTCAAACCCTCTGCGCTGTCTCTTTTCTCCCCATCCTTCCTACGCCCTTAATGCTCTTGGTCACAGTCGTCATGTCTTTTTCTGCTGCTATCTGTAATTGAACAGGGACAATTGACCAGCTACTTCATGCCTGCTTTAGCCTTAATTTCATTAGCGATCCACTCTGATTTTTTCCTTCTTGGCATCCTCGCATCTTCTCAGTTGATCTGGCAATCCCACCCGTGTGAAGCCCAACCTCACACCGTGTTCCTGGAACACCAAACGACACCCAACACCTGAGCTGAGCCTCGTGGTCTTCACCCTATGTGTGCCTTTGGTCCCTGCAGGTCACCTTCCCCATCAGGGTCTTCTCCCTCCTGGGGGTGGAGGTCCTGATTACCACAAATGCTGCCGGGGGACTGAATCACCACTTCCAGGTGGGGGACATCATGTTCATCAGGGACCACATCAGCATGTTTGGCTTGGGAGGGCAGAACCCACTGCATGGGCCAAACGATGAGAGGTAAGCAGGTCTCCTCCTGCAGTGGGGAGAGGTGAGCAAAAAAGTGTTTCTGCAGTTGGATGGAGGGGGGGATATTTGCAGACTTGCAGCTCAGCTCCAGTCCTGTTTCATCTCCTACTGGCCCACACTGGAATTAAGTGGTCCTCCAGCTAATTGCATCTTTCCTAGTCCCTGGCTAAGCCCTCAGCCCCTTGCTGCCAGTGGATCCTTTCCTACCCCAGCCTCAGGCTGTTGGTTGTTCCTGCTGATGAATACTGAGAGGTGAAGGTTGGACCCAGCTCCCCACAAGGGAACCAACGCCACCTGTGTAAGAAGCTCATTAAACTGGGGAGCCTTCATTAGCATCACAGCTCCTCTGCAGTGGGAGGTGGTTGTCCTGGCAGCCTCCCTGGGGGCCTCCGGATCTTGGAGCCGTGAGCTGGGGCAGAGGGATCCTGTGCTGGGTGTGCAGGATCCTCTCTGCAGGCTGAGCACAGGGGCTGGTGGCACATCCTCACCGCTGGGTTCCTGCTGTCACTGGACCTAGATGCTTTGAGCAGGAGGTTGAGCTCGATGGCCTCTTCCAGCCTAGGACAGTGCCTGTCTAAAGCAGAACATCCTAATGTCTTCATAGGTATTGTTGGGGGCTGGAGGAAAAATGATCAAAAGCAAAGAGGCCGCGTGGAGGAGTGCTTGCAGCTCTCTGGACTTGCATAAATTGCTCAGGAGCAGGAGGAAAAGCAAACAATAACTTCATCTGGACGGCATTCAAAGGCAGCATAGACGTCTCAGTGCCCCCAGAGGCACCTTCCTGGTGCAGGCTGCAGCGCCCGGGGGCTTCTGTGGTGCTGGCCGAGGTGTCAGAATGGGCAAAGGGTCCCGAAATACTTTGCGAGCTGATTCACAAGAGCAAACCCTTTCTAAAAGCCAGTCCAGCTCAGCCACCAGGAAGGGTTTATCTGAGCACAACAGAAAAACTGGAGGCAATGAAGTGATGTGGAAGGGGAATACAGGCAAGAATCTCGGGGTTTGATCTAGTAAATTAGAGACTGGCCTTGGCATTGCTGGGTGTCCTTCAGGAAGGAAGCAATTTTCATGCTGATGAATGCTTATTCCCTTAGAGCAGATAGGAAAGTTGTTTGTTTATAACGTTTTAGGGCTTATGAGCACAAAATAAGCCACCTACTGCCCTAAGCGTTCAGCTGGAGGAACATGAAAGGCTGCCAGAGCTTTAGTAGCCTGGGTGAGCGACCGGATCCACCCAAATGAACTGAGCTGGGGAACGTGGCTGGGAGCAGGCTGCCAGCTAGCAGCAGTGCACCAGCCCTCGCTACCTGCTGCTGCTGTGCGTGAGTCAATAGGAGGACTCAGGCAGGAGCAGGACTGGGATAACTCAGCAGGACTGAGCTGCTGAGTTAGGATCCAGAGCAAGTAGGAGACCCAGCCTCGAAGCACAGGATGAAAGTTAAATGTGGCCCTGGAGCTCCTGAAAGCGTGCGGAGGGTTTTGGGGGGTCAAACCCAGCAGGAGGGGCAGTGATGCCAGCCTGGCTGTGCCCTCTCCTGCCCTGCAGGCTCGGCGTGAGGTTTCCCTGCATGTCTGATGCTTACGACCCAGATCTGCTCAGCCTGGCGATGGAGAGCGCGCAGGAGCTGGGCTTCCAGAGCTTCGTCCACACAGGGGTGTACTGCATGCTGGCTGGTCCCTCCTACGAAACCATCGCCGAGAGCCGCATGCTGCAGGCCCTGGGGGCAGATGCTGTGGGTAAGAGGCACGGGCTGGGCTTGTGGGGTCAGACAGGAGCTTAAATAACTCGTTCTGCCTATGGATGACTCTCCCCAGTCTTTCAGTCTCCATCCAGGTCTCCTAGGCCTAGAGAAATGTGTTCCTGCTTGCTTAGTGCATCTCCTGGGATGGCTCTGCTCTACAGCTCTGTGTGCTTCAGGCTGCCCAGGACAAGGGGCCCAGCAAAACCTTCTGCATATTTCCCAAACAACACACTCGAGTGGCTCCACTTCGGTGGGACCCAATCACAAACAGTGCTTTTCTGTTATTTTTAACATTGTGGCCCTCTTGGCACTGTGCTCCTTCTGTACAGAGCAGTCCTCCACAGGAGTCTGGGTGGTTTAGGAAGGGCAGATGTGGAAAGCTTCCTGCCTGTGTATGAGGGAGGTAAGCGTTGGGGTCCCCAGGTTCCTCCAGGCTGTGATTCGGGGGTTCCTGGCTCACTGAAGCAGCTCGTGGAAGGCTGTTCCTCAACACTTGCAGGTCTGCTGTATGAGAGCTCATTTTGGTGCCCATCCCGACCCTTCCGACTCATCCCCATCCTCTCCTCCGCTACCGTAGGCATGAGCACCGTCCCAGAAGTCATCGTCGCAAGGCACTGTGGCCTGCGCGTCCTCGGGCTGTCCCTCATCACCAACAGAGCAGCGACGAGCTACAGCAGCCCCGAGGAGGCCTGCCACGAGGCCGCCAGCCATGAGGCCGTGCTGCGCGTCTCGGTGGCACGGGCCAAGGCCTTGCGCAGGCTGCTGGCGCGCCTCACCGCCCGCCTGGGGGAGAGCCCCCGAGCCCCCCGACCGCAGCCATTGACCTTCATATAACAGCACGGGGACCCCAGAGAGTGCTGGGGTGAGGTTGTGCCCTCCTGCTGTCGTGGTTGTGGATATACCGGGGGTCTTGTCCCCGTGCTTCAGCCAGGGTTTGCTTCAAAATTTGCTGTGATGGCCGCTTGGTAGCAGCCAGCTGTCCTCTTGGCCAAGGAAGGCCACAGCAGCATTCTGGCACTAAACAGCCCCCGACGACCCCTGGCAGATCCCCAGAGCCATGAGAAACAGGCACGGGGCTCGGTGTCTGCTGGGGATGCCTGGTTAGGGCCTGCTCCAAAGCCCCTGGAAGCCCACAAATCTGGAAGCCCAAAATCTGAGCTCCTGCAGCACCGGCGGTTTGTGGTGTTGGCTGAGGTGACGTTACAGCCAGCTTCACCTGCTCCCTTTCTGGGATTGTTCCAGCCCCTGCTTGTCACAGGGCAGAGGGTGGCCAGGTAATTTCCCAAATTCTGCATGGTGCTGGCCCTTCCCGAGCCAGGTGGAGTCCCCAAATAGCCTGGCACCAGGCACCAGGACCGGCCTGGGGGTGGCTGGAGGGGCTCCTCTGCCCAGGCAGGGCCCCCAGCCCCTCCAGAAGGGGCTTTTGGGGTGAAAGCTCATGCATGATCACAGCCTGTTGGACTGCAACAGTGCGTGGGGAGGAAACGGGGAGGAAATAAAGCTTGTTCTTACTTGGCACCTGCATATGTGCTTTGCCTTCAAGTTATCAAAACTCCTTCAGATGTTTCTCTTTACCAAAAATCTGCATTTGAACTAAGGGGGCTCTGGTGTGTTTTTCCCCAAAACTTAGGTCTTCTTGACAAAGACTTGATGCTCTCGTTCCCATCCTCTCACCTCTCTCAGTGGCAAAACTTCAAAGGGAGGAGGAAGGAAAAGCAAGGGGTTAGAAAGAGGAATCATGATCCAAAAGGAAAAGGAAGCTTTTTGGGGATGCAGAAACTGTAAAATGAATACCAAAAGCACCTGTTGGGGCCTCTGTGCCCACTCTGAGGCTGCTCTCAGCATCCTGCCGTGGATCCATCCTGATGGATGCTGCTGCAGCATCTCCCCTCCTGTGCCTGCATCTTGCCCCAGCACCACAGGGCTCGGGGATGTATTCATGGCACCGAGTCCCCAAACCCAATCCCAAAAGCTGGAGCCCCTCGGCCCCCTGATCATCTTTTTGTCACCCATGGGACGCGAAGCCCCTACCCAGTGCCCACCTGCACTGCCCTGCATCCTTCTCATTAATTAAGCACGTCCATCCTCGTCATTAATTAAGCACGTCCATCATCGGCCGAGCCTTCGGGATGTGAATTATCATTTCCCCCCCGTAGCCTTGACAACAGCTCCCCACCGGCCGGCGGTGACAGAAGCCAGGGGATGCTGCCTGGTGTGGGGAGTGTCCCTGCCACCTGGGGACCTGGGGACAAGGAGCAGGGAGTGCTCCCCCCTCACCCCAAATCCCCCATCAGGGCGGGCAAAGTCCGGGGGCCACATCCTGCATGTCCCCACGTGGGGATTTTGTGGGATAAAACTGATTGCTCCTGGTTTTAAAAGTCCTCAATTCTTCCTCCAAAAGGGGCAGGTTTTGTGGCTGGGGGGGCGCAGGTGGCACTTGGCTGCTGGCGTTGTCCCTCACCTGTTGGTGACATGGCACTGGGACATGGGGCAGGGGTGTGGGGACAGGTATGGGTGACACGGGCAGGGGCTGGTGGGGCAGGGAGGAAGGGACAGAGTGATGGGGAGGAGTTGGGGACAGGGCAGAGGGAGGTGTGAGGATGGGGAGGTGATGTGGGGCAGGTGACATAGGACAGGGAGAGGTGACATGGGGCAGGGGCAGGTGATACAGGATGGGGGCAGGTGGCACAGGACGGGGACAAGTGACCTAGAACAAGGACAGGAGGCACACCACAAAGCCAGGCGACCCAGGACGGTGATGCAGGAGGGGCACAAGCAGCACAGGACAGGGCGTGGAGCACAAAACCCCCTCGGGACGAGCCCCCCCCCGTGTCACCCCATCTCCCCCACCCCCGGTCGCCCCCGCCCCGTGTCCCGGCTCCCCCTGGCGGCGGCTCGGGGCCGGTCCCGGTATAAAAGGGGGAGGCGGCGGCGGCGGCGGCAGCGGCGGAGCATGGCCGGCAGGGAGGCGGCGGCGACCCCGGCCCCGGTCCCGCACGGGGGGGCGGCCCCGCAACGCGCCCCGCACCTGCACCTGGCCGAGCTCAGCGCGTCCCAGTTCCTCGACGTCTGGAGGCACTTCGATAGTGACGGTCAGGGAGGGGGGTAAAGGGTGGGGGGGGGTCCTTGGGGTGGGATGGGATGGGGAGGGATGCTCCGTGCCCTGATGATGATGATGATGCTGGGGAGGAGAAGGGGAATGCGAGAAAGAGGGGGGAAAAAGAATCAGTGCGATGAGTTGTGAGAGAAAAAAAAAAAAAAGGAAAAAAAAAAAGGAAAAATAAATTGGGGAAAAAAGGGGAGAAGGCAAAATAAATTGGGGAAAAAAGTGGAGGGAAAAGGCAAAACAAATTGAGGAAAAAGGGGGGGGAAGGCAAAATATATTGGGGAAAAAAGGGGGGAAAAGGCAAAGCAAATTGGCAAAAAAAAAAAAAAGGAAAAAGGCAAAGCAACTTGGCAAAAATGGTAAAGCAAATTGGAAAAAAAAAAAAAGGAAAAAAGGGTGAAGTGAATTTGGAAGAAAAAGGGGAAAAAAGGCAAAGCAGCTTGGCATAGAAAAGGTAAAGCAAATTGGCAAAAAAAAAAAAAAAAGGAAAAGACAAGGTAAAGCAAATTGGGAAGAAAAAGGGAAAAAAGGTAAAGCAAATTGGCAAAAAAAAAAAGGGGGCAAGAAAAGGGTAAAGCAAGCTGGCAAAAAAAAGAGAGAGAGAAAAGGGCAAAAAATGTCAAAAGGGCAAAGCAAATTAGGAATAAGTAAATAAATGAAACAAATTCAGAAAAAAAAATAGGGGGGGGAAAGGCAAAACAAATTGGAAAAAAAAAGTAAAACAAACTGGCAAAAAAGGGGGGGGAGAAAGGGTAAACCAAATTGGGGGGAAAAAGGTAAAATTGGCAAAATAAATTGGGAAAAAATGGGAAAAGGGCAAAGCAAATTGGCAAAAAAAAAAAAGGAAAAAGGGCAAAAAAAAGAGCAAAATAAGTTGGAAAAAAAAGGGGGGAAAAAGGCAAAACAAACTGACAAGAAAGGGTAAAACAAACTGGCAAGAAAGGGCAAAACGAATTGGCAAAAAGGGGTGTTGGGGAGGACAAAACCAGGCGGGGGGCAGCGGGAGAGGCGCAGCGAGGGGCTGGTGCCCGTCCCCGGAGAGGCTCCAGGGCGAGGAGGTCCCTGCTGGGAAGGGGACGCCGCGGCCGTGACCTTGGCTGGGTGACGGAGCCCAGCAGAGGGTGACGGAGGCAGAAGGAGCCCAAAATCCCCCCGCCGGGATGGTGCCCACGCCCTTGTCCCAGTGGGACCCCCGCCCGGCTGCAGGAGCCGTGGTGGAGCCGCTCCATGGGGTCCCCCGGCACCGATGGTCAGAGTCCTGAGCTGCCTCTGAGGCTGAAATGGGGAAGGATTGGGGGATTTGGGGGGATTTTGGGGGGGGGGACATGCTATGGATGCTCGCCCAGCCCTCGGCCACCTCTGTCCCACCCCGGGGCTGCGCCGTTTCCCAAAAGCTGGAGGATGCTCAAGCAGGACCAAGAGGTTTAATTAAACATCCCCCAGGGACATCCCTGCCCTGGAAAACGCCCGAGGGGTTTAGCTCCCTTTTTTTTTTTTTTTCCCTAATTTCCTCCCCAGGAAATGGCTACATCGAAGGGAAAGAGCTGGAAAACTTCTTCCAGGAGCTGGAAAGCGCTCGGAAAGGGGCCGGGGTGGTAAGGGGCTCTCCTGGCTTTGCTCCCTCCTTCCCCGCATCCTTCCTGCCCCAAATTTTGGGCACCTCACTGGGGCATGGCTGGGGGGGCGGTGGGATGGGATGGGATGGGAACGGAAAAGAGCTCGGGGTTGTGACAGCGAGGCAGGGAAAATGCTCCCGACCCGTCTCACTGCCGGCAGGACTCGCGGAAGGACAAGCTGGGCGACAAGATGAAGGAATTCATGCACAAATACGACAAAAACGCGGATGGCAAAATCGAGATGGCCGAGGTGAGCGAGGCAGGAGGAGGAGGATGGGGCTGCGGGACCAGCGGTGCAGCCGGGCTCGGCGAAGCTGGGTCAGGGCTGCGAGCAGGGGCACCCTGAGCTCCTGGAGCCCCCCCCCTGACACCCCCGGTCCCCACAGCTGGCCCAGATCCTGCCCACGGAGGAGAATTTCCTGCTGTGTTTCCGCCAGCACGTGGGCTCCAGCGCGGAGTTCATGGAGGTGAGCGGGGCGGGGGGCGCGGGGACCTGCCCCGCATCCACTGCCACCCAAATCCACCAGAATTCGGGGGATTTTGGGGCAGCTCAGCACCTCGCGCTGGTACTCGGCGCTGCGGGGAGAGGAGATCTTCAGGAGCAGCCCCAAATCTCTGCTTTTTGGGGTAAAACCCACCCCAGAAAGCAGCCTGGTGGATAAATCATCCCTGAGAAATTTGGGGGTAAAATCGACCCCAGTATCGATGCCTGAAAACAGAGCGGAGAGCTCCGTTTAATTGGGGGAGGTAATTAAAGATTAATTACCTACTCAGTGAGCCGCAGCAAGGACAGGGGCGCCTCAACCCCGGTGCAAAGCCGCCTGCCCCGTGGGTGACCCAGCACGCGGGGTGCTCAGCTGGTGGGATCGGGGTCCCCATCCCCGCGGGGGTGTCCCTTGGGGTGAGGATCCGTGCGGGGCCACCCGCCGGGGCTCACGGCGGCTCCTTCCCAGGCGTGGAGACGGTACGACACGGACCGCAGCGGCTACATCGAGGCCAACGAGCTCAAGGTGGGCTGCAAGCGGGGTGGGTGGGCGCGGGGACGTCCCCGTTGTCACTGGGGGGTGACAACCAGCGGGACGGCGCGGTCCCTGTCCCCACAGGGCTTTTTGTCCGACCTGCTGAAGAAAGCAAACCGGCCGTACGACGAGCCCAAGCTGCAGGAGTACACGCAGACCATCGTAGGTGGCAGCCGGAGCAGGGGGGACACCCCCAGCCCGGCCCTACAGGGGGTGGGGGGGAGCCCGGAGCCAGTCGCTGCCCCCCTTTTGGGGTGCCGGGGCGGCAGGGGGTGACCGGGGGCCGCTTTGTGTCCTGCAGCTGCGGATGTTCGACATGAACGGGGACGGGAAGCTGGGGCTCTCCGAGATGTCCCGGTAAGGCCGCGGGGTGGTGGGGAGGGACACAAAGCCCCAGAGATGCCCGGTGGCCTCGCTGGTTGTGGTTTTTAAGGAAAAAAGCCCCAAATCTGCGTTCTGGAAGGGCGATGTCGGGTGCGCTCTGCGCCACCGTCCCACACCACGCTGCGCCCCCAAGCCCCCACCCCATCCATGCCCTGTGGTGGCTCGGGGATGGATTCAGCCCAAAACCGACCCTGGAAAATAAAAGAGGGGGGAAAAAAAAGTGATTTTGGCCAAATTGAGCTCACTGAAGGGATTGGGCGGGCTGCGAGCTGGGGCTCTGCACCCACCGCAAGCATTTCGCCCACCGCGGTGGTGCCTGCTCCGTGGTGGTGTTTTGGGGAAGCCTGGCTCACAATTTTCCACCCACCCCTTGCTTTTCAGGCTTCTGCCAGTGCAAGAGAACTTCCTCCTGAAGTTTCAGGTAAAAAAAAAAAAAAAATAATAAAATAAATAATAATAATAAATAATAATAAATAATATATAATTCCTACCCTAATATCCCCTGCCCAGGGGATGAAGCTCTCCTCGGAGGAATTCAACGCCATCTTCGCGTTTTATGACAAGGTGAGGAGATGGGGATGTGGGGACGAAGAGGGGACAAAGAGGGGGACATGGGGACAAAGAGGGGGACATGGGGACAAAGAGGGGGACATGGGGACAAAGAGGGGGACATGGGGACGGAGCAGCTCGGCACTGCGCTGTTCCCACCCCGCAGGGCTTGGGGGACGCTTTGGGGAGGTTGTGGTGAGGGTGGTGGCTCTTTTGGGGGTCTCCTCGGGGAGATGTCCCGATTCCTCCACGGGGTGGGAGATTTGGGGTCGCGGGGTGGTCCCGGGGCTGGCGTCCTGCTCACATCCCCCTGCCAGGACGGGAGCGGCTTCATCGACGAGCACGAGCTGGACGCGCTGCTGAAGGACCTCTACGAGAAGAACAAGAAGGTAAAAAACAAGACAGCGGGGGGGGGACAGAGCCCTGGGGGACGGACACCTCCCTCGGGGGGGGGGTCCCTCCTGCCTGGGGGGACCCCGCGTGTGTCCCCATCCCCACGGTCCCTACCCGGGGAGGGCAGGAGGTGGTGACAGCAGCTCCTCAACGGAGGGAACGGGGGGGACCCCAGCACCCAGGGGTGGGAGGGGGGGGTCCCAGCACCCAAGGGTGCGCGCCGCCGAGCCGCTGTCCCCCCGCAGGAGATGAGCATCCAGCAGCTCACCAACTACCGCCGCAGCATCATGAGCCTGGCGGACGGCGGCCGGCTCTACCGCAAGGAGCTGGAGATCGTGCTCTGCAGCGAGCCCCCCGTCTAGGTTCCCTCCACCCTCCTCCTCCTCCTCCTCCTCCCCGTGCCCCGGCTTCGTTCCCCCGTTAAAATCAGGCATAAACATCTATTTTTTTAATTTATTTCGTTTTTTTTTTTTTTTTTTTTTTTTTTTTTTTTCCCATCCACCCCGTTGCTTTTCGGTTGTTTTCGTTTATTTCTCGGAGGGGGGGATGATTTTGGGTTGATTTTATTTATTTATTTATTTATATTATTTTTTTTTTTCTCGGTTACCAAAGACGAGCTCGCAAACAAAGCTGGGAGGGGGCCGCGGCACCGCGGGGGCTCAGCTGGGCCGCCTCGCCAGGGCAAAAACAATAGGTTTAGAGCAAAAAAAAAAATAATAAAAAAATGGAAAAAAAAAAAACTGATCGCAACATTCATTCATTTTTTTTCTTTTTTCCCTAAAATGCTTTTTTTTTTGGTGGGAAATGGGGTGGCAGGACCAGGTTTCAGCCCCATGGGGCTGCAGATGTAGGGGACGCCAAGGGGGTCCAGGCTTGGTGGGCAGGGGGCAGCCAGTATGGCCCAGTACAGCCCAGTATGGCGCAGTGCAGTCCTGTATGGCCCTGGGGAGCCCAGTATGGCCCAGTATATCCCCAGTGGCACACTGGGGGACTGCACAGCCCTGTATGTCCCTGTATGGCCCGCTATGGTGCAGGGCGGTCATATATAGCCCAGTATGCTGCAGCACAAACCAGTAAGGCCCAGTATAAGGCAAGTATTGCCCAGTATGGCGCACTGTGGTCCTGTACCTGTATGTCCCGGTATGACATAAATGCAGCCCAGTATGGCCCAGTGCAGTCCTGTATGGCCCGGTACAGGCTGTATGGGGCAGTACAGACCCCCATAACCCAGCACAGCCCAGTATGGCCCAGTGCAGTCCTGTACAGCCCAGTGTGTCCCACTGCTGCCCTCTGCAGCCCAGTGCGGTGTGGTGCAGCCCTGTAAGGCCCAGTATATGGGAACTACAGCCCAGTATGGCCCAGTATAGACCAGTACAGCCCAGTATGGTGCAGTACAGTCTTGTACAGCCCAGTATAAACCAGTACAGTCCTTTACAGCCCAGAATATCCCAGTACAGCTCAGTACAGTGCGGTATAGCCCAGTACAGCCCGCTGTAGACCAGTACCAACCAGTAGGGTGCAGTGCAGCCCTGTACGGCCCAGTATAGCCAAGCTCAGCCCAGTGAAGCCCAGCAGGGTGCAATGCAGCACAGCATGGCCCAGCATGGCCCCGTGCAGCCCTGTATGGTGGAGTGCAGCCCAGTATAGACCAGTATGGTGCAATACGGCCCAGTATAGCCCAGTAGGGTGCAGTGCAGCCTGGTTTAGCCCAGTATGGTGAAGCACAGCCCAGTCTAGCCCAGTACCGTCCAGCAGGGTGCAGCACCGCCCAGTAGGGTGCAGTGCATCCCAGTACAGCCCAGTGCATCCCAGTATGGTGCAGCACAACCCAGTATAACCCAGTACAGCCCAGCAGGGCGCAGCACCGCCCAGTATAGCCCAGTAGGGTGCAGTGCAGCCCAGTATAGCCTCGTGCAGCCCAGTATGGTGAAGCACAGCCCAGTCTAGCCCAGTACAGCCCAGCAGGGTGCCGCACATCCCCGTGCAGCCCAGTACACCCCAGTACAGCCCAGCAGGGTGCAGCACAACCCAGTACAGCCCAGTACAGCCCAGTACAGCCCAGCAGGGTACAGCACCGTCCAGTACAGCCCAGCAGGGTGCAGCACCGCCCAGCACCCCCCAGTACACCCCAGTGCCTCCCACCAGGCGCTGCCGCACGGGGCCCTCCGGGCCGCCAGGGGGCGCTGTGGGCGGGGCGGAGCCGTGAGGGGCGGGGCCACGAAAGGGGGCGGGGCCTTTCCTGTGAGGCGCCGCGCATGCGCAGTGCGCTGCCGCGGGGAGCTGTGTCTGCCGGCCGCCTTCACGCCGCCATGGCGCTGCTGCAGAGCTGCCGCTTCCTCGCCGCCCCCCGCCTCGCCGCCGCCGCCCGCGCCAGGTGAGGCCCGGAGGCCTCAGGGGGGGCGGCACCGGAGCCGTTTCGCCGCCTCCGGGACGCGGCCGCCGCCGTTTGTGGGGAGGGGGCGGCCTCATTGGGGGGGGGGGGGGGTCGCGGTGAGGAAGAATGTCCCTCGGCGCGGCCCGTAGGCCGGTGGGTGGGGGGCGGGAGCGGCGTTGCCATGGAGACAGTGCGCCTATTGGCTGGGCCGGCCGGGCGAGTCGGGGGGCGCGCGCTCTGATTGGCTGCGGCCGGGCCCGGCGGCCCCCGGCTGCCCTTGAGGGGGCGCGTGGAGGGCGAGGGGAGGGGGCGGGGAGGGGGGAGCGCGGGGGGGGGCGGGGGGCACCGGGATATGGGGCGGGGGGGGTGGGCTGAGAGCCGGGTATGGGGCAGGGGGCTGGGGGGGGGGTGTGGGGCTGTATGGGGGCGGGGGGGAGCTGCCTGCTATGGGATGGGGCCCTGTGCACCAGGATATGGGGCAGGGGGCGGTATTGGGGCGGGGGGCGCTGCCCCCCGGGGAATAGGGCTGGGGGCGGGCAGGGGGGCTGGGGAGCTCCGTGCGCTGAGACACGGGGCTGGGGGCTTTATTGGGGTCAGGGGGTGCTGCCTGCTATGGGATGGGGCTGGGGGTCCCTGTGCACTGAGATGTGGGGTTGGGGTCACACAATGGGGTGGGGGAGGTCTGGGCACCAGGGTGGGCAGGGGGTTCCTCTGCACCAGGGCACGGGGCTGGGGGCGTGCAGTGGGGTCCCAGGTACAGTATACACAATGGGGTGGGGTCCTGAGCACCAAGAAATGGGGCTGGGGGTGTACAGCAGGGATAGGGGGTCCCAAGGACCCCACGCACCTTGAGATGGGGTCAGGGGCTGCTGCCTGGCACGTGGTGTTCCCGCAGGAGCTGTTCTGCGCCGGGCTCCCCTCTCTGAAGGCAGCAGAGGGATGGATTTGGGGTCACGGGGTGCAGCCAGACCCCCGGAGCATCACCTGGGGACACCCCGGGGGCTGAGCCCACCGAGGGGGCAGCTCCCCGCAGCCACCCGGGGCTTTTGGGGCTGGCAGGAGCGTCCCGGCGGCGTCCCGCTGTAAATATTTGCCGTAGCTGTGGCATCGCGGGCGCAGAGCCTTTGGCCTCGCGCTCTGCTGGGGCTTGTGGAGCTGCTGCAGGGCTTTGGCAGAGGCTCTGAAAGCAGCTCCTGGTGTGGGGAATAAAGGAAAGGAACAAAGGAAACCTTCAGCGGAGCCGTGAGTGCCTGCCTGGAGGAAAGTTTGCTTGGAGCCCCAGTACACAACCACTGGGTTCCACACACGCTGTTAGCAGGCTCCTTTTTGGGGTTCCTGCTGTGTTTTCTGCCTTTTCTCTTCCCCCATCACACGTGGAGGAGGGCCTGGCAGAGAGCAGGGAGGCTGTAGGATAACAGCCCCGCTCCACGCCCCGGCGCTGACTCACTCCTGCCCAAAAGTGGACGGAAAAACTTTTCCTGGCTTGCCCCGAGCAAACCTCCAGCAGAGAAACCACAACTTGAGCTGCCTTTCGCTCAGGGCTCGGCACCGAAACGCCTCTCCGGCCCCGCGGCGTGGGCAGGGAGGTTGGGCAGTTTATAACTCTGACCTTTATCTGAGAGCAGCGCTCTAGGGATTGCCTGAAATAAACTAGAATGCGGCGCAGGGACGGCGCATCGTGGTAACGAGGGCTGCAGTAGGGCCTGAGGGCTTAGGTCCCTGGTCCTGAGCACCTTGGGCAGGCTTTTATGATCCCTGCTGGGTGTGTTTGGACATCCCATCGGGAGCTGTTTCCTCCTGCCAGCTCCCTGGGAGCAGCAGAGGAGCCGTTCTGTTGCCTTCACCCCAAAGCCCTCGGGCTGAGAAGGAGAAAATCGGCCCTAAAGAGGCCCTAAAGCGGCCCTAAGCTGATGGAAAGGCTCAGAACAAAAGCGCTTAACTGGGGAGCCCTGGGGCTTAGGGAAATGCCCTCGGGATCAGCGCTGCTTGCAGCAGCTGTGACCTGCTGAGGTGTGCAGGACCTGAACGCCTTGAACACCGCGAGCCTCTGGGTGGGCAGCCCTCAGGGCCAAAATAACCACAGGCCAGGTAAACCACGCAGGGATGTGCTGCGTCCCGCTAGGGGTGCGTCCTGGAACCACTGACTCATCCTGCCAGGCTGATCCCGTGCTTAACGAGTCCTAATTATCCCTCCGTGGGTTTGGAGAGACTAAAAACTTCCGTTTTTAAACCAGACGAGGGGACTTGTGAGTTGTGCTTGCTGTTTTCAGCAGCCTGAGCGGGCCGGGGGGAGGCTGGGCCCAAGGAGTTGCTTTTTATAGCCTGGCCTTGGCGTCCCGAGGAGCTCGCTGCCTTCGGGACGCCCGGCAGCGGGAGCTGACGCAGGGAGGGCTCGTGCTTGGCTGCGAGGAGCTCATTGCAGTGAGGAGAAGACGTCCTGCCCGATTGCCAGAACAGCCCCCGTGTTACAGCCAGGCGGGGTTTGTAGGGCCGGGAGGGGAAATAGCTGCTAGGAAGGCAGCGCTGTGGGAGCAGCAGGTTGGCTTCATGCACCAGAGCCTCTCTGGGATCTCAGAAGAAGCTCAGTGAGGTGCTCCATGCGAAAACATCGCTCTTGCTGCTCTGCTTGGGCCCCCAAAAATGTCCTTGCCATGCTTGGAGGTGACACAGGGGGGTTTTGCCCTGTCCTCCAGCCTCACCCTGAGCTCCTTCCCTTCCAGCTCATGGTGGTCCCACGTGGAGATGGGTCCCCCCGACCCTATCCTGGGGGTGACCGAAGCGTTCAAGCGCGACACCAACTCCAAGAAGATGAACCTGGGCGTGGGGGCGTACCGGGACGACAACGGGAAGCCCTACGTGCTGAGCTGCGTTCGCAAGGTGAGCCGGGGGCTGCGGGGCAGCAGGCACCACACAGGTAGCTCTGCGGGCAGTGCCAGCGCTTCTGGGACACGGGGTAAAACCAGGAATATTCGTCCTGGCCCCTTCCAGGGCTGTCTAATTTATTGCTGACGTCCAGGAGCCCCACAGCACAGCTCAAGGTGTTCCTTCAGCAAACCGATGTTCTCTGGGCCGAGGAAAGAGCTGACGCTGTCCCCTCGCCGGATTAGCCTTAGAAATTGTGCTGAGCCTTTGTGCCAGCTTCTCCATAAGCCAGCCTAAAACGCCAGCCTGGGAGCTGGATGTGGACGCTGCCCTTGAGGGGATTATGGAGCCTTTGGGGGCTCTGCGGGTAGAAATAGGCCGCTGGTGTGGGATTTGAAGCTGTCCCTTGCCCGCACCACAGCTGGGTCATGCCCAGGGAGCTCGGGTGGCATCAGGAGGAGCTTCTGGTGCTGTGTGAACGCTGCCAGCGTCCGTCCCACTGCTCTGAGAGCACAGACAGGGTTCCCAGATCACTCCAGTTGTCCACGTGGCTGTATTTTTCTCTGACGCTGTGTCAAACAAAAACTTGGACTGGTTCTGGTGCCAGCTCTGCCGGAGAGGAGCAGAGATCAGCAAGGCTGGAGGCAGCCACCTCCAAACGCTGGCTGGCAGTCAGGCTGCTTTCAAAATTGGCTGGGTTTCCTGGATTTCTTTATTTATTTTTGAATCTTATCTAGTTCAGTAACCTTCCCAGCATGACAAGGCACCACGAAGGGCTTGCTGCCCTACCTGATTTGGGGTGTCTCTGTGTAGAAACAGCCTCTTCTCCTCCATAACAGCCAAGTCTCCCCGTCCTGCGGGACAGTTCCAGTGTGGGCAAAGAAATGTGTGTCCTTGTGCAGCAGCGCTAGCTCGTACGGGGCTGGAAGTGGTGCTCTCCTCTGAGGGAACAGGTGGCTGCTGGGGGACTGTGTCCCATGGTAAAAGCAGGGTGTCACCAAAAATGTGCTGCTCCTCTGGCTCTGATGAGCCCTAGGGGAGGGGAACCTCCTGTCGGCCTTTGCTGCTTCTGAGTGAGCAAATGCGAAGAGAAGCGACCGTGAGCTGCGCACCGTCCTCTCCGTGGGGATGCTTTCCGTGCTGACCCTGCGTCCTCCTTTCCAGGCGGAGGCCATGATAGCCTCTAAGAAGATGGACAAGGAGTACTTGCCCATCGGGGGGCTGGCGGATTTCACCCGGGCATCGGCAGAGCTGGCACTGGGTGAAAACAGCGAGGCTTTCAAGAGCGGCCGGGTAAGGAGCGGGCTGGGGAGCAGGGGGTGGGCAGCACGTGGGCACCAAGCAGGGCTGGTGGGGCTGCTGGTGCCCCTGAGCTGCTGGCTGGCTACCCCCAGGCTCCTCAGTCTGCTCAAACTCCTGTTCGTGTTCCTCTCCTCGCAGTATGTCACCGTGCAGGGTATTTCTGGGACTGGATCTCTGCGAATTGGAGCCAATTTTTTGGTGAGTCCCTGGCCGGCTGGGGAAGAAAGAGACGTCTTTTGGCGGGAGCTGGATCCAGGCTGTTGAACACTCTCTCTTTTTCTTGCTCAGCAACGGTTCTTCAAGTCCAGCCGCGACGTGTACCTACCCAAACCCTCCTGGGGCAATCACACGCCCATCTTCCGCGATGCGGGCTTGCAGCTCCAGGCTTACCGCTACTACGACCCCAAAACCTGCAGTCTCGACTTCGCTGGAGCTATGGACGACATTTCTGTGAGTTGCCTTTCACAGCTGGAAGCAGGGAGGTGAGGTGGGGAATGGGTGAGGTGCTGAGTGGAGACTGGGAGCCCTGCAGGGCACATCCAGGGCAAGCCTCACCTCTCCACCTGAGGAGAGTGCCTGGATGTTGCCAATCCCTCATTCCCTGTTCCATCACCTTTAGAAAATCCCAGAGAAGAGCATCATCCTCTTGCACGCCTGCGCTCACAACCCCACCGGAGTGGATCCCAGGCAGGAGCAGTGGAAGGAGATGGCAGCCACGGTGAAGGTGAGCAGTGAGGTGTCCTGGGGACGCTGTGCACTTCTTGGGAAAACCACATCTTGGGTTCCCTCTTTCACATGCTTCACAAGCTTCAGCCGGCCACTTGGTGACACTGTCACTTCTCTGGCAGAAACGGAACCTCCTGGTGTACTTCGACATGGCCTACCAGGGCTTTGCCAGCGGGGACATCAACCGGGACGCCTGGGCCGTGCGGCATTTCATCGAGCAGGGCATCAACATCGTGCTGTCGCAGTCCTACGCCAAGAACATGGGGCTGTACGGTGAGTTGGGTGGGTGGTGCGGGGACAATTCCAGGCTGGATTAGCAGCCGGTGACTTTCTAGAGATGCCTAGTGTTCTCCCAGTGCCAGCTGCTGTCCTGTGGTACTGAACAGGGCGCAGGAGGGAGCTGAGGAACCCCATTAGAAAGCGGGGCTGTGCTAAAGCAGCGTGGTGTTCAGAGGAGTCCTGCCCCAGCCCTGGATATCCACGGGCTGGGACCTGACCGGGCTGTCTCCGTTTCAGGAGAGCGCGCAGGAGCCTTCACGGTGATCTGCAGCGACGCAGAGGAAGCCAAGAGGGTGGAGTCGCAGCTGAAGATCCTCATCCGTCCCATGTACTCCAACCCGCCCCTGAACGGAGCCCGCATCGCCTCCATCATCCTCAACACCCCCGAGCTGCGGAAGGAGTGGTAAGAGGGAGCTGCCAGTGCCCACGAGGCGAGGCGTGAAGCCGAGCCTGCTGTGCTGATAGCTGCAGGGTTCCAGTCAGCACCACCAGCTGCTGCTGCCCTCTGGGGAAATCCCTGCTCACACGCGCGGGTTTCCCTTGCGTTACTGAGGCAGAAAACCCTCTAGAGGAGAGGACAGGGCTTCCCTAGGATTGAAGTCTGCGGAGCTGCCTGTCTGGGGAGCACAAAAGACTGATTTAACTCGTTGTAGCCACTTGAATAGCTACAAGTCTAGCGTTGAGCCTCACATGGGGGAAGTGGAAGCTTAAGTCCCCTGGGAATAAAGGCTGAGGAATGTAACCCTCATGCCCCAAGCCTCCTGGCATCAGCCTGCACTGCTCCTGCAGGGTGCTGGGTCCCTGGCGGCAGCTGGCCCTGCGGGACAAAGGCTGGCTGTGTGTCGGGGCCTCGCTGGGGCTGCGCTGCTTTGGCCAGATCCAGGACCTGGCAGAGATGTCTCCTCGCTGCACGGCCGTGGAGCTGGGGCTGTCTGCGTTGTGGGAGACCCCTGCACACCCCAGGTGTTATTTGATGTGGGTTTGGGCAGTGCTGCCGTGAGGCCTCCAATTCTGCCGTGGCTTTCAGCAGTGAGAGATGGTGAGACTCTCCTGTAGTGTCCAACAGTTAACGGAATAAATAAATAACTTTTTTTTTTCACTTTTGGATGCTGGGAGAAAGAAGCAACTGCCCAGCCGAGGCAACAGGTCCATGCTCTGTGGGGTTTGCTTTGCTTTGGGTTTCACACCCCATGTTTTTGGGGTACAAGGTGGAAAGGGTTGCTTCCCAGGTAGCTGGGGATAGGGATCAGCATTGGAGCATCGCGGCTCTGCTCTGAGCAGGTCTTGGCTTGAATTCTCAGGCTGGTGGAGGTGAAGGGCATGGCTGACCGGATCATCGGCATGCGGACTCAGCTGGTGTCCAACCTCAAGAAGGAGGGATCCTCGCACAACTGGCAGCACATCACCGACCAGATCGGCATGTTCTGCTTCACGGGGCTGAAGCCCGAGCAGGTAAACACAATTCCCCTGGTATCAAGGTGTTCTTTGCAGTTCTTGTCAGAAAGATATGGGCTGTGGGTGCCAGATGAGCCTCCAGGGACAGGTTTTTCTCCATAAGAACATCTTCAGAGTAGAGGTCAGGCTGAATTTTGAACTCTGCTCTTTCATCCCAGGTGGAGCGGCTGATCAAGGAGTTCTCCATCTACATGACAAAGGACGGCCGAATCTCCATGGCGGGCGTTACGTCGGGCAACGTAGGTTACCTGGCTCACGCCATCCACCAGGTCACCAAGTAAAGACAGAGCGTGCTCTGGAGCTGTCGGCCTTCCCCGCTGCTGGAAGAAGGGGAAGGAAAGGAAGCAAGCAGAAAACTTCCAACCACAGCACTTAACGCCGCTGCTGAATGTATCTTGTAGATGAGTTGTTGTAGAAGCCTAGTCAAACTCGCACCACGCTGTGGAGCAGGGACAGCAGTGCTGGCTCCCCCGTGTCACAGCCATCCTCCCCTGCTGCTCGTCCTTTGCCCATCAGCCCCAGCACCCGTCTGCACTGGAGGAAGCAAACGGTTAGCGCTCGGCCATCCTGCCTGCGTAGGCACCGAAGGCATCCCCACGCTCGTTTCTCCATGAGAATGCTTTGTGAGGCTGCTCGCCCGGGCAGCAGCGGTCAGGGAGTGGGGTGGGCTGAGGGGGGGCTGTTTGGGATCACTCCTGCGTCCTCCTGAACCCATCCTGCTGCAGGCTCCCCTCCTCTTCCACCTCAGGGCCAGGCAGCGCTGAAGCTGCCCTCCGACAACTGCCATAAAGGCTCTGAGGACTTGTAACTACTAAAACGTGCTCCCCTCTGGGCTCTGCTCTTTGCAGCTGGAAATCTGTCAAGTGTAATTCACGGTGGCGTTGGTGCGTGTGGCAGACCCCTGTCACTGCTCTGAACCTCCCTTCCCCTGCTATAAGGTGACAATTCCTCGCCCTTCAATAAGAACCTCCTCTGAAAACTGCTCTCTGTGCGTTTCTGCCTCTCCCCCCTCTGCCTACAGCACGTTGGCTCTGCCTCCAGGCCAGGGTCTGCGTCCCACAGCCACGAACCAGCTGCGTCCACCCTCGGGTGGGGGTCTGGGGGTCGTCATCTCGTCTGCTCCCTTCAGCCCATGTCTGGTGATGCCAGAAATTGGGATGGAAGGAGCCTAAGCACAGTCACAGCTGGTAGCTCCATCCATCCTCTCCTTGTAAAGACGTGAGGACAAAATGCCCTGTGCTTCGCTTAACGCTGAGCTTTTTAATCCTAATAAAGTGATGCAGGGCCGGGTTGAGCTTGGGCCTCCCATCATGGCACAGATGTGGTCTGTCCCTTCCACACACCAGATGTCCCCTTCCAGGGCTGTGCCAGCAGAGGGAGTCTGACAGGGCTGCTGAAACCCCAATCTGAACAGAGAGGGCAGTGCCCACGTGTTTGTCCCAAATGCACTGGGGACTGTGGGACTCCCATGCAGCTAATCCAGCAGCCTACACAGTTGATTTTTTTATGAGTTCCCAAAGGGCCCAGCCCCGCACTGTGGCCCTGCTCCTGCAGCTGCCACCTTCCTCCATCTCAGTGGGACGCTTGGCCAAGAACATGGAATTGTTAAGGTTGGAAAAGCCCTCCGAGATCACTTGGTCCAGCCACCGCTGTCACCCACTGAACCCTGTCCCCAAGCACCAGGTCCAACCTCTCCTTGAACACCCCCAGGGATGGTGACACCACCATCTCCCTGGGCAACCTGTCCCAACACCTGACTGCTCTTTCTGAGCAGAAATGTCTCCTCATTTCCAACCTGAACCTCCCATGGAGCAATTTGGGGCCATTCCCTCTGATCCTATCCTTGGGTACCTGTGAGAAGAGGCCGACCCCAGCTCCCCACACCTTTTAGGTAGCTGTGCAATCACAGAATGGGTTGGGAGGCACCTTGAACCCCATCTAAATCCACCCCCCGCCACGGCAGGGACCCTACCACCAGATCAGATCAGAGCATCGTCCACCCTGACGTCCAACACCCTTAGGGATGGGGCATCCCCAGCCTCTCCGGGCAGCCTCCAGCTCCTCACCACCCTCCCAGCGCAAGAATTTCCTCCTCCCGCCTGCTTACCCAGCCGCTCCTCGCTCCCCCCGCCCCATTCCCGCAGGCTGGGAGGAGGCTGGGTGCAGCCTACAAACCCCGGCAGGCTGCGCGCTGAGCGGGGGCTGCGGGGCTGCGACACCGGCACCGGGGCTGGGCTGAGCCGGGCCGGGAGGGGCCGGGTCCCGGTAGCCCCCGTAGCCCCGTGGCCGGGCGGTGCTGAAGGATGCGAGGCTGCCCCTTGCCGCAGGGGGTGCCCAAAGCTCGCTGAGGCCCCCCGGGCTCGGACTTTAACCCTGCGAGCGGGGAGCCGTGGCCACGGGGCTCCTGGCCGCAGGAACGGGAAGCCCGTGGGGAGGCCCCGGGACCGCCGGCTGGGCTCCGGGCACCGGCCCCGGTCCGGATTTTACAGAGCAGAGGTGAGTTCAACGCCCGCGCCCTCTGTCCCTAAGCAGCCCTGCTGAAATTTGGGTGCCCGGGTGCTGGGACCCCGAGCCGGGACGTGGGGAGCTCGTTTGCTCTCTGTCCTGCTCGGTTATCAGCCCACGCTGTCCCTCGTTATTGTAGGCTGTAGGTCAGAGGGTTTTGGGGTGGCCCCAGGTCCTGCCGGCCACGTTTTTGATCCATGTGCCACCAGAGGACGTGGATCTCCTTCCCTGCCATCTGTCCCACGTCCCTGCTGGCTGCAGCCTTTTAAATCCATCAGGAGGGCAGATCCGGGGGTGCCCACCCCACCCCTCCACGCCACCGAGGTGTGTCTCGGTTTCCCAACAATCCTCACAAGATTCCTGTCCCTCCCTGTCCCCTTCCAGGAGCGGCGAAACGCCCGGATCCTGCTCTGCCGTGTGCCGTCCCCGTGCCCGATGGATCCAGCGCTGGCTGGGGACGCTCCTCACGCTGCTCGGCTGAGCCCGGTGGGAGGACACTAGTGGGACACGAGTGGGACACGAAAGGGACACAAGAGGGACAAATCCTGCCCGAAGATGGCTCAGGCCACCGGGAGCATCAACAGCGACTACAGGGACTGGGAGTGGAGCGCCGACGCCGGGGAACGGGCCAGGCTCCTGCAGAGCCCCAGCGTGGAGACGGTGCCCAAGAGCGGCGAGAGCCAAGGCAGCGGCCTGGGGGCCACATCCGCGCTGGGCGCCGTCTTCATCGTGGTGAACGCCGCCCTCGGGGCCGGGCTGCTCAACTTCCCCGCCGCCTTCAACACGGCCGGCGGCGTGGCCGCGGGCATCGCGCTGCAGATGGTGAGAGGCGGGAGGGGATGGCCCCATGCGCGGCCCTGGAGGGTCCCCGTGGGACACGGAGCACCCTGGGGACCTCAGCGTGTCGCTGCCTCACTGTGTGCTCTGGCTCCTTCTTCCCACCGCAGTGCATGCTGATCTTCATCATCGGGGGGCTGGTCATCCTGGCGTACTGCTCACAGGCCAGCAACGAGCGGACGTACCAAGAGGTGGTGTGGGCGGTGTGCGGGAAGGTGCCGGGCGTGCTGTGCGAGGTGGCCATTGCCGTCTACACCTTCGGCACCTGCATCGCTTTCCTCATCATCATCGGAGACCAGGAGGACAAGAGTAAGTGCCCCAAAAAGCGAGCGGCCGAACTCCCTTCCTGCGGGAGGGGCGGGAGGCACAACCCCGGTGTCCCCGCAGTCATCGCCGCGCTGGTGACGGAGCCCGAGGAAGCGGGGAGCAGCCGCTGGTACACCGACCGCAAGTTCACCATCAGCATCACCGCCTTCCTCCTCATCCTGCCCCTCTCCATCCCCAAAGAGATCGGCTTCCAGAAGTACGCCAGGTGGGTGAGGGGACGCTCCACCGAGCGCCTGGGTGCAACTTCACAGCTGGAAACACCGCGGCCGCTCCTTTAACGTTCATCTCTCTCCCCAATCCAAAATTTAAACCAAAATTTGAAAGGATGGGGCTGGAGGTGCTGGGAGGAGACCCTGGGATGTCCTCAGGGCTGGGAGGCGGGGCGCTGATGGGCTTTCTGTGTCCCCTCTTGCAGCTCTCTGAGCGTCATCGGCACGTGGTACGTCACGGCCGTCATCATCATCAAGTACATCTGGCCCGACAAGGAGCTTGTGCCCGTGGAGATCCCCACCAGGTGCGTGCAGGAGATGTGACGCTGATAGCACCGCAGGGCCGGGCAGGGACTCGGGTGCAAAAGCTGGGGACAGATCCTCCCCAGGTCCCTTCCCAGGTCCCTTTTTGCTGCCAAAAGCTTCCAGGTGGCTGCGTCTCCACACGTTTTGTGGGAGCAGGCGGTGAAGGAGCGGAGAAAAGCCTGTTGGAGGCGTCCTGTCCTGGTCCCCATCTCCTTCCACATCACTGCGGCCTGGGCTGAACCCTTGTCAGACATCAGAGCATCCCCATCTGCCTCCACTGCAAACATCTTGCAGGCTGTTGGGGAGGGGGTGGAATCCCAAAAGCTGGGACCGAGGAGACCGCAGGGGACAGAAGGACAGGGATGGAGAGAGGGGCTGCTGAGGGGGCAGACGAGCAGAGGAACAATCCCCCTGCTCTGACCGGTGCCTCTCTCCCTCCCCAGCCCCTCCAGCTGGATGGCCGTGTTCAACGCCATGCCCACCATCTGCTTCGGCTTCCAGGTAAGACCACGAGGCGGGCGCTCCCCCTCCTGATCTGGTCTGGGGATATTTCCTTGGACATTCAGCCAAAACCTGTATCCCTGGTGTGATCCAGCCTGGCAGAACAGTTTTTAGTTGGGCAAAGAGCTGCTTTGTGAGCAGGGTGGGGGAGAGATGGGCCCGTTTAATCCCGTTGCCCCCGCTGCCTTCTCCGGTGACAAATCTGGGGGATCGCAGCGCTGGCAGAGCTTTGCCGGGGCTGCGTGTGGTGCGTGGGGTCCTGTGCAGCTCCCGCTGCCCCAGCTCAGCCCAGCGCGTGTCCCCGCGCTCTCTTGGTGTCTCCGGCAGTGCCACGTGAGCAGCGTGCCCGTCTTTAACAGCATGAAGCAGCCGGAGGTGAAGACCTGGGGGGCGGTGGTGACAGCAGCCATGGTGATCGCTCTCTTTGTCTATACAGGCACGGGTAAGTGAGGGGAACCCCGGGGTGGCTTCTGTGGCTGTGGCGAGCTCCTGGAGGACACAGATCCTCTGGGCAGCAGAGGTACAGGGAGGGGATTAAACCACGGGACTCCTTCCCTGTCCCCCGCTGACTGCGCCCTTCTCTGGCAGGCGTCTGCGGCTTCCTGACGTTTGGGGCCAGCGTGGAGCAGGACGTGTTGCTCTCCTACCCTTCCAACGACATCCCCGTCGCCCTCGCCCGGGCCTTCATCATCCTGTGCGTGCTGACCTCCTACCCCATCCTGCATTTCTGCGGCCGGTGAGTGGAGGGCGGCGGTGGAGGGGCAGGAGGAGCCCTGCTGGAAGCCTCCTTCCCCGGCTCCGTGCCCGCAGGGCTGTTCTGGAGGGCCTCTGGCTGCGCTACACCGGGGTGACGGTGGAGGAGGATGTGGTTCGGGAGCGGAGGAGGCGCCTGCTGCAGACCGTCAGTTGGTTCCTGCTGACGCTTCTCCTGGCTCTCTTCATCCCCGACATCGGCAAAGTCATCTCCGTCATCGGGGGCTTGGCCGCCTGCTTCATCTTCGTCTTCCCAGGTACCGCGTCCTGGGGTGCCCCACGGGGACGTCTCTTGGCCTCGTATCTGAAGAGGGAGGGGACAGGATGGGGACACGGGAGCAAGGGGGCTTTTAGAGGAGCAGGACCACTGGTTTAACTGGTCTCTGCTCCGTAACTGGGAGTGTAGGAGAGGCAGGGGGCTCGGTGAGGGCTGGGAGGGGAAATTCGTATCCCGTCAGCCAGCAACGTGCTCTGCCCCTCTCCCGTGGCACATCTCCTACGGGCTGAGGAGAAATAGGAGAGGATTTGTCCCTCCTGCCCTCAGCAGGGCAGCCCTTACTTCATTGGCAGCTCAGCTCCCTGGCTTGCAGAGCGCCTGTTCAGTCCCCAGCTGGGTTTAATTTGCTGCTTCTCCCTCTCAGGGCTCTGCCTGATTCAAGCCAAACTCTCCGAGATCCAAGAAACCAGGGCGCTCAGGTAACGCGCTTCCCTCTCCCCCTGCGGATTTGGTAGAGGAGGTCCCACCTACAACGCTCTCTGTCCTTGTGCCTCCACAGCTGGTGGGCCCAGGTCAGCTACGGGGTGTTCATGGTCACCCTGGGAGCCTTCATCTTCGGCCAGACCACCGCCAATGCCATCTTTGTGGATCTCACAGCCTGACGCCTCCTCCGGGCTGCCCGCCACGGGGAAGCACGTTTCCTGCTCCAGGACCAAGGGGGAGCGGGGAGGAAACGTTTGGGTACATTGGGAGCAGCCACGAGGAACGCTGAAATCCGGGGCTTTGCTGAAAGAGCCCTGCAGGGCCTCGTATCTCGCTGTCTGCACGCACCAGGCAGTCAGGCTCGCCGCCTCGGCCCTGACTCTCTGGTGAAGCCAGAGCATCACTACCAGGAGACCTGCGACCCTGCGGAGGGGAGCGCTGTGATCGTGGAGATCCCCGCTCGCTCCATGCCAACATCCAGGTCAAATCCTTCCTGCCCCTCCGGGGTGGATATCACTACAGGATGGCGTTTGGGGTTTGCACAGGAAAGCAGCCTCCGTGTCAAGGGAACTCCTCTCCAGTCCTTGTTGTCACTACAGTGTTGGAGGGAGACAGCATCTTGCATAAAGGGAACGTGCCATAATTTGCCAGCGTTCGGTTCGGTTTGAGTTTTGCTTTCCCGTGGCTCATCTCGCCGGTCTTCTGTCCTAGCTCAGTGCTGCCAGGGCTTCCTCTTCCATTTTCCTCCGCCTGGGTTGCACTTTCTGTTCGAAAGTGGGACCAACCAGCATGCTGAGCCTGGTTTGAACGTGCTGCTGGAGGAGGATCGGGAGGACCCTGGGTAGCGCCACGCCACTACAATGTTTACACTGCCAGCCCAGCCTCCGTGCAGGGGCTTGGCACTCACTAGAGAAGGTGCTGCGACTGCAGGGCCTGCTGGAGACACTACGCCAGGGCCGGGCTCATCTCTGACTTTCAAATCCTCTTCTTCCCAGGTGGCTGTCCAAGGAATGGGGCAGGTGTAGGTGTTAAGGGATGCTTCGGGGATAAAGCAGTCGGCGTTAATCCATTTTACGTTGTTCCCTCAGTCCGGCTGAGTCCCTGTATCCGGCTGGTGTTGCTCTGGGTGCTTCCTCCTTAGTCCTTTCTGGAAAGTTTCACTTCTGCTCCTTGATGGTTTCTCTGGGTTCAGTTCCTCCAGCTGCAGATTGGGCTGGGGGTGGTGAAATCCCAGCAGTCAGCTGCTCTTGATCAGACTTCCAAGATCGAGATCTTTGCCTTTTACATCCCTGGGGGAGGGAGGGATTGATGTGTAAATATCCTTGTGCGTCGTCCAGGTGTCCTAAGGTGAATCGTGAGACGTTGAGGTTGCCCTGGCTGCGCTCCTTGCCCTCTGCGACCAGCCGGCGGTGGGGGAGAGGACAGCGCGTGCACCCGTCCTCGTGGCAGCGCGTGACCTCTCCCTCCCAGTGCCTGCGGTGTGGAAATGTGCTGACAAGAGGTGGCTTCAGCCCGCCGCGCTGCAGGGAAGGGCTCTTCGCCCCCAATGCATGTTTCTTCCCAGATCCCGCTCTGTAATTCGAGTATTCCCCACCACTCTTTGAGATAAGAGGGGGAAATCCAGATGGAGAATGAGAAAGAACCCCCCAATAAATTGTTTCGAGGGACTGTGTGAAGTATTGTGTCCCTCCAGCTCCTCCGAGGTAGCTCCAAGCCTCGGCTTTGACATGACCAGACTCCAGCAGCCCCCCCGTTTGTGTCATCCGTGTGTTTGCCTGGGAACAGAGAAGTGTTTTGGTGTGCGGAGCTCTCTAGAGCTGGAGGGAGGACACAGGATGTGTGTGTGTGCAAACACGATTTGCTTTTCCAGGATGAGAACAAGAGGTGAAAGGAGCCTCGGGGCTGGGGTTAATGGGTGTCTCGTCTAAATACAGCCCATCTGTGCTCCACAGGGGAGTGTGAACACTACAGGCACAGGCTGCCTCATGTGCTTCTCCTGACTCCTGCCTAAGAGCAGGAGCTCGAAGAACTTTTTGGTGTTTTTTAAAAAAAAAAGTAGACAAAAGCATCCTTGATGTCTGTGTTGGGTTTGCATTAACAGCAGGAGGGCTCTGAGCAGGAAGCGGAGCCCAGCTGCAGGACTGGGGTGCTCACTGGGGCCTTTGGTGGGTACAAACCATGCTCAGCATCCGCTTGGGCTGGAGCTGGGCTGTGGGACACGTGTGGTGTCTCCGTGGGAGTGCAGGTAACCAGATTCCTGGCCTTTGTACGCCTTTAATACCTGTAAACACGGCTGACCGGGATCAATAAACGTGCGGTTGTGCTGCGTGTGGCTCCCTGTGCTCTCTGGGGGGCTGCTCCTGGCCCAGGACGCCTCAGGGGGGCGGGCGGAGGCCTCAAACCCCTTACAGGGCCGGGCCCACACCCCGCAGCACCCCTCAGGCCCATCCCCACAGCCCCCAACAGCCCGGGGCCGGGCAGCCACAGCTCGTGGGGCTTAGCAGGGCCGCCTCAGGGGCAGCCCGGAGCCGTGAGGCGACCAACGGCCGCTAACGGCCGCTAACGGTCGCCAACGGCCGGCTCCGGCGCCGCCTCAGGGCGGGCACAAAATGGCGGCGGGCGCTGAACCACTGCAGGGGGCGGGGGGGGGGGAGGAGGGGAAAGCCGCGCGCGGGCCGTACCACTGCGAGGTGCGGGGGAGGGGGGGGTGCCGCTCCCCCCTCCTCCTGCCTCCTCGCGCCCTTTGGCGCTCCCCGCCGCTTCCTCTTCCTGCCCCGCGCTGATTGGCTCTCCCCGACGGCCCTCTCCTCGGCTGCCGGCGCTGATTGGCCAGCGCAGCGTATGCTCCGCCAGCCGGCCCCTCCGATTGGCCCAACCCTCGCGGCCAATCAGAGCTCGGCGCCCTCTCCGCGCGGCCAGCGGGGGCGGGCTCGCGTCCCGCCTTGAGGCCGCGCCGCGCCGATTGGCCGAACCGCGCGGCGAGCCGCGCTCCGATTGGACCAACCCCTGCCGGGTGGGCGGGGACACCCCTTTTCGCCCCTCCCCTCACCACCCCTCCACCCCCCCCTCCCTCCCCCTGGCGTGCCGCGAGGGGACGGGGGAGGGGAAAGGCCGCGACGTGAGCGCGCGACCCCGGCCGCCATTTTGTCGCGGAGCGGCGGAGCCCAGCGCGCACAGGCCGCGGCCCCGCGCCCCGCTCCGGCCACAGGCGGCCCCCAGGTGAGGCCCTGGAGGCTGTGAGGGGAGGCTCCGGGATGCACCGGAGGGGGTTGGAGCCGGGCCCGGGGGAAGGGTGCGGGGTTGGGAGGCCGGGGCCCGGTTTGGCCCCGCGCTGCTGAGGCGCCGCTGAGGCGCTGCTGAGGCGCTGAGGGGATGAGGCCTCCCCGGGCAGGGCCGCGCTGTGGGAGCTGAGGCGCGGAGGCTCCCCGGGGGCACGGCTCTGAGGGTTTCTGCCTCGCCTCGGCTCCCGGCCCGCTGGGGGAGCCGTGAGGGAACCGTGAGGGAGCCGTGAGGGCCCGGCCGTGCTCTCGGAGGATCCCCGCTGCTTGTTGCCGCCTGGGAGGGCAGGGAATTTGCAGCACCCCGCCGCAGCCCCCTCAGGAGGACCCTAAAGGGGAGTTTCGGCGCCGTGCTGCGCTTGCAGGCGGGCTGTGCGGTACAGGGGACGGCTGTGGGAGAATTGGGGATGGCAGCGCTGTGGGACATCAACAGTTGGCCGTCCCGGCAGCCGCTGTGGCAGGTAGCTCTGTTGTGGTCGTTGCTACCTGTGTTCTGTTGTACCGAGCAGCCCTAACCCCCAACAGGCTGTGAACAACTTGCTCGGACCATCTTCGAGCTGTGTTTACAGCAAAATTGAGATAATAAAAAAAAAAAAAACAGAACCAGACACTTCATTTCTTGATAGGACATGAGCTGAGGGGGTGTCTGCTCGTGAATCCGACTTCTGAGGAGGAAGCATGGCATCTGCCCTCAGTGGAACTTGTCCCCCCCTCCCTTTTTTTTTTTTTTTAAACAGGTAAAAAAACAGGCGTGACTCCTGGCAAGTCATTCTTAGTGCACATAGCTGAAGTGTTTCCTGTTTCTACGGTAACTACATTGGCATGGAGTTAAATTATAGGTGGGATAGGTCCAGGTGAGGTGACTCTTACAAACAGGAAGCAAACGTAGCTGGTAGGACGTGGGCATGTTCCTTCTCAAGTCTTATTTTCTTGTTTTTTCTACCCTCATGCTTTTAAGCGTTCTGATAACTACTGACTCTCTTGATCTGGTTTCTTGAAGCTATGCTTGCTATCTCCCTGTCTTATTTTCAGGCAAATACCTAATTTTTCTTCTAGCATAGTGCTCCTAGATTTCAAACACTTTTTAAGTCGTGCTGAAGCAGCAGCTACTGGTGTGTTAAGCAGTGAGTACAGGGAAGGGAAGTTGTGCAAGCACACCTTAGGAAACGTGTATGGGGACATTGTGTGACCCTGTGAAGAGGCATCACAATGTGGTGTAGGGAATTCCTACCCCTGAGATTTGTGGCTGAGGATGTGGCCGTTCTAACCAGATCTTTCTTACGTTCTGTGGATGCTGTAGTTCTGCTTTGCCTCTTTATACTAACCTTTAACAGTTCTAAAAGTCTTCTTGGATGGCAAAGCAGCACAAAGCTTTTGAGAGCAGGTCCTTGCCTCCAGTGGAAGCTTTATCCTGCGGTGTTGGACTGAAGGGGAAGTAGGAAGTCAGAGTTGCTTGGATGTTTGTAAACAGTCCTAGTTGAGATGTGAAACGCCTGGAGTTGCCATGTCATGATGCTTGCCTGGTGTCTTTGAGGTAGGTTCCAGACCTGAAGCTTAGCTGGCCTTAACGTAGTGGCACAAACGTACGTGCTGAGCTCAAGCACTCTGTGGAAACTGAAAGTAACGTGTCTGAGCAGTATCGGTGGCTTCCAGTTGACTGGAATTGTGTGCAGCTTTCCCGTAAATGGAGTATTTGGGTGGTTCTCCTGTGTAAACACCTACGTTCAAGCCAGGCAAATTATTCCGTAGCTTATTTCTCTCTTTGCTTGACTTACGCTGTAAGGTTTTTCCCTGTAGATTTCAAAATGAGATCCAGGAGTCTATTAACTGCGGCACAATTCAAAACCCTCATCCCCCTTGGAGCACTTCTCACGTGAGGCTTCGGAGAGGTATGCTGCTCTCCTGTGTGCTCTCTCCTGTGTGCTCTCTTGGCGTGTGGATGTGAGGAAGCGGGTAGGAGCCTGTGTTCTGAAGGACAACTTCAGCAGTGGCACTTTTAGTGTGTGCTACGTGCTGTTTTCTGAACAGGAGCTCAGAACCTAGCCAGTGACTGTGTTGCTGTTTCTGTCACTTGTGCTGTTTTATCCTCCCCGTGCAGTACACGTGGCTTAAAGTCTTTAGAGCTCTTAAACCTTAGGGAGTGTAGTTATTTAGCTCGGAAAATATTATATTAAAAAAAATCCAAAGTTTGGCTTCAAGTTTGAAGTTACTTTCTTTGTAAGGTTTTTTCTGAATGCGTGGAGGACTTGAGATTTGTTCCCCTCATCCTCAGCAGCGAGGTGTAGTTGCTGCCAGAGATCTGCTTTGGGTTATTTGGGAGTGTTTTGGCTGGAAGTGTTTTAGTCAAACCTGGCTGTTGGTTACTTGTTGGTCTTCTCCCTTTTGTGCTTTGGGATTCTTGCCTTGAATTGTATCGTATTTATCACGTAGTAACCTTACAGAGCTCTGTGGTGTTGAAGAGGATCAGCTGAAGCTTTTCCCTGCCAACCCTTGCGTGGATGGCCCATCGATTTCCTTAGAAAGTCTTCGTGCTTACAGGTTTCAGCAAGTATTTTCTACCTCTTAAAAATCTGCTGTGTTGTGCAACATACAATGGTGATGCTTTGATGTGTGGATAAGAGCTCCCAGGTCCTGCGTCTGATACCTTATTCCATTAATGTGTGATAGGAGCTGCCGATTTTGTCAGAAAACTTAAATTTTTGGTCAAGCCTTTTTGGCCGAGGCTCGGATTTTCTGAACCTGTACAGACAGCAGGCGTGCCCCGTGCACGGAGAGCTCCTTGAATTCCTGAGGCCAGGGTAGGGAGATTGATTCCCACCAAGAATATATGCATCTAAAAATAAAGCCTGCTTTGCATAGCATTCATAGCTTCCTCAGTCCCTGCTGCAGAAATTGACGTTTAGCCTGGCGTTGGGCAGCCAGGGGAGCTACCTGTGTGCGCTGCTGCTTTCCTGGCAGCTCTGCCTTACCCTGAGTAAATAAGACGCTGCTGTGCTCCGTCCTCGAGCTGCAGGGTCCCCTCTGCCTCCTGGAGAAGGAAAAACCTGGATTTGACTCGATCGTGGGCTCTGGCACTGCCAGATTTCATGATTGGGAAGAGGGAATGGTGGTTGTGCCTCCGTGGGATCGCAGCACGCAGGGCTGGTGCTCTCTGCTTTTCCTTTTCCTGGGTTTGCTGCCCAGCTCCAGGGCTTAAACGCTTGATTTGGGGTGGGGTAGGTGTGATGCTGTGCTGGTTGCTTCAGTCCGAGGAACAATACCCAGAGAAATGTTTGGTTTTATTCCTCGTGGCCGGAGAGGCACGCTCGGAAACTTCAGGGAGTGTTGTCAGAGGGACAGGGTTGGAGCTCTGGCGTGGGTCCTGCTCTTGAGCCCGCACCAGGCTGTTGCTGGGCTCC